AAGGTGAGCAGCCAGAAAAATAAATTTTCCATTCCTTGTTGGAAAAATGTGCTTCGCTCTCCCTTTTTATCTTTCTCTAATCATCGAAATATGGTCTTGCTTCAGTTTTATAATTAAAATGTGGCAGAAGTTTCTTCGTAAGCATAGTTATTATGACTTGCAAAACTGGGTACTCGTTAGATTCGTCTGAATACTCTACTTGAAAGCAAAGTCTTTATCAAGCTGAGTCAAATTAATGCTTTTTATTGTTTCTTTCCTTCCCAATATAGGTGTGCTCTATTACGCGTTTTCAAGCAACATATTTTTGCATACTCGGCTGTTAGCATTTCGCTTTTGGGGGCACTTCTGATAAGACGAACTCCCAATAAGACGAACAAATGATTGTGCTCCCTTCAAGTTCTTAAAGAGAGTCCCCTGTAAATAAATCCCTCACTCATGAAACTAAACAGACAATTTGATCAGGCTAGTTAACAATGATCTATCATTAGAGGTAGCACAACACTTTATGAAGAATTCATATTTAAAGCACATGTTTGTCTGTCCTATTTCTGTCTGTCGTAAAGTATTGCGCTGCCAACATTGATGCACTCTATGAAGACACAATAGCTGCTCGATTTTAATAGTGCTTATGCAAATGTAGCATTTTTTTCCTTTTTGTTCAAAGTGAAGATGAAGCAAGTAATAATTATTTAGTATCAAATAATTACTTGGAGCATATCCAAACAGTAGTAGAATCAGCATAAAATCTATACAAGAGAGTCAAATGTTGATTGCTTGCCAAAATGAAAATAAAATAACTGTTATTCAGATATTCTTGTGCAATTGTAAGGTCAGCATTTCATACAACTCCAGTGGCAAATATTCATTTTTAGGCTTTTGCTCAATGATGTGTTCCGTCTAAACTTGAAAATTTAACAAGAATATCTGGGATTTTACATGCCGAAACCACAGTATGATTATGAAAATGCAACCACCTCAGACGGGATCAAACTCACGACCTTTGGTGAACTCGAAATTTGTAGTGGTTGTGGTTGCAAGTGCTTTGCATTTAGCAGTAGCAAGTAGACACGTATGCGGTGAATTGAAACCTCGAGTGCAAGTGGTTATCTTCTTGGTTCCTCATTCTTTTTGAGCTTCATTAATTTCTGAAAATTGCATGCAACAGCAATTCACTAGAAGTGCCGCCCTTCTGAACTAAGCTCGTTCCATTGTACAAGCACACAGACGAACTTGGCGGGCCTACTCATTAACATTGCAGTCCTCTGGCTAGCGCACATGCCTGACCTCTGGCCCGATCACTGATGAGTAGCCCACATCCTTTTATTATGTTAAGCCCATGCATCCAAAGGGCCTTGGCCTCTTAAACATAATCAATATTGCAATGATGACAATCTATTCCTAATGTTGTACAACTCTCAGGAAAACTATGAAACTATCTTATCAGCGGAGACATGAGTATAGAGTGCAATCTAGCTGGACAGCATGCCATCTTCACGGTTGCCATTTTTAATGATATTTTGCACAGATATCTAAAAAAAATTAATTTATATGCAGTGCCTAAAGACAGCTGCACGCAGTTATTTCTGGGGATACAAGTTGTGGGCAATACAAAGTATTAAATTTATTAAATTTGGCTTGCATAGACCTCACGAAAACCATATTAAAAGGTGGTTTCACATCCTAGTGGCTCCGCACTATAGTGAAACAACTTTTGCAGGAGGGTTACATGTGAAATCATACATCTGTTTGTATGTTTAGAATACTTTATAACCTCAGAAAATTAAAGAATTTTAAAATTTGGGATGAAGCAAATTCAAACACTGTAATATTTATTACATTATTTGAAGTGCTAGAATAATTGTACAAGCCTGGTTTAAGAAAATTCACCCATGCAGCCGTCACAGTCCGTGTGTTTCATGTCTGTGCCATGTCCAAACCCTTTCTCCGCTTATTGTCTCTGCATGTTGTTGCCCAATCATATAACCAGCTTGTTAAAAGAAAATGTCTGTACTGACATGGTTTCATTGGTTAAAATGCATTAACTAGCCTGAAAAATTTTACCTTGCAGCAAACTAACATATCTGGGTCAATGTTGAATTGTACCCTATGCAATGTTCACCCCTGTCACTTACATGGAACACAAAAAGTGTTTCTTATGCAGCAAGCAGTGCAAGTAAATGACTGTACTAAGGGCTGTGGTCCCACTATCTCATAAGTGCATACAGAAGACAAGTGTGCATTCATGTATAGGTAGAACCAGAGCCGGGCAAAGATATAAGACACTCGGGCAAAAGTATTGCAGATACAGATACAAGATACTACCGCAAAACTTTTATCTATTAGAATACTTGCCAATTGTATCTTAAGATACTTCGATACATTTGAAAATTTCTCGTTATAGACCCCGCAAATCTAGTAGCCAACGCATAGGCACAAAAACGACGACTTGGAAATGTCCGAAATGTTCTCATTTTTATTTTAATGACATGTTCGTTGGTATTTCAAACGTTCTTGTGCAAAGTAAACTAGTTTACTTCCTAATAACTTATTAGAATTTGCTTTAGCTGCTCAATAGGACAGCTCTGCAGACCCTTCACTGATAGCAGTTTTTGCTAGTAATTTCTACAATAAATGATAGTGGCTGCTGAGCTTGCCGACCAGCTAGTGCATTGCCATCTCAGATGAGCTTCAATAAAAAACGATTGCATGATGGCACAAATACCGGTGTGTAATTTCAGCTTGTCCATAAAATACAGTTATGAAAACCGAATCACCGATGCACAGCAGCATAAAAGACAGTTATGAAAACTAAATCACCGATGCACAGCAGCAATAACGCTGATAATGACACTATTGTGGAAGATTGTGTACATAGGCCTACGTTCAGCGCATAAAGCAGCTATTACATTTCTTAATATTTCTATTTGCCAGTGTAGACCGTTCGTTTTCTCTATATTCCCAAACGTGCAATCAGTTTTCTTGAGCGAGAGACTCAAACTCCTGAGACTTATTGTAATGTCATGTGGTGGTGACAATGAAGCAAGCAGTGGTCACTCTGGTAGAAATAAAACTCGCCAAAAAGCTAACTTGGGCCCAGAAAACCAAGTAGGCATAATTCAAAGTACAAGCAAAGTCGCTGTACTCTGATAGCGGCTGTAGGTGTTGTCGGCCTACGGTAATCTGATCACCGGCAGAACGCGTGCTTGTACTTATACAGCAGTGATCGCACTTTCCAGCGTTATCACTGGTGCACTTGTAGGCTCGCCAATTGAGAAGAGTCCTCATACTGCACGTAATCTGAGTAATAACTGTTGATTTTTTAAGTCCTAAAACTACGCAATGACTATGAGAACACAGAAATGAAGGGCTTCAGAAATTTTGACTGTGTGGTGTTCTTTAACTTGCAATCAAATCCAAGTACATGCACCTCTAGCATTACAACTCTATCGACATGCGGCCGCCATAGCAAGAGTTCCGCGCAATGTTAGCAGCCCAATCTGAGACAATCTCAAAGTTTACGAAACATTGTGGGTGGCTTACACCAAGTGGTCGTAAGTTTTTTGTGTCTTGGACACAATCACACCAAAATATAAAAATAAGATTGGCGGCAGCATAGTTGCACAAATCGTCACGGGACAACACCGCTATTCACGCTATAAAAAGGGAGCCACTTATAACTGAAATAGAAAAGCCATTCCGTTTCAAGCATTCGTGGTGAATAAGCTGAGACGCACAATCAAGTCGAACTTTTATTAGCTATGACAATTTAGCATGACGTATCGTCAACTTACATGTTAAGGTAAGGTAATAAAGTGATCAGTGCCTGTAGGAAATTGCCTGATAAGACTTCTTGGGACGTTGATAAGGAAAACGGACCACTTGACATAACAATTATTTTTTGAATCCCCTTACTAAGATCTCTAATATGCGTTTTAATTATTCGCAGTATTATAATGCAAACTCAATTTAGTCATTTTACAAAGCAATAGAATGTTTGGTCCTGTATACTCCACGCACACCCAGGTAATGACAGATTTGTTTTCTAAATCACCTTGGCGGAAGAGTAAACTCAAGTGAATATAAAGATGCAAACAGAAGCGAAAATAAGGTCGACAATTAAAGGTAAGGATAAAACAGAGAGCTTATTTTGACAACTTTACAAAAGGCATATTGCATTCACAAGACCGAGAAAAAAACAGTTTAGAGCACTAGGTTATGTATGGGATGCAAGAGAATTACAACTGAGAAAACACTTAAGCTAACAGTCATATGATAATTTCAAATTGAAATAGCAGGAAGAGAACTACGTGGTATGCCAGTATATCATCTGATCGGTAAACCCTGTTCTATTTGATACAGAATCGATACTTCCGTACGCATCGTGGTACACAGCACTTGCAAGTGACTAAGGGTAAGCGTCATGACTATGACACAACTTAAAAGGAAAAAAATTGAGAAAACGAAATGCATGCAGGCTTGATTGATTGATATGTGGGGTTTGAAGTCCCAAAACCACCATATGATTATGAGACACGCTGTAGTGGAGGGCTCCGGAAATTTCGACCACCTGGGGTTCTTTAACGTGCACCCAATCTGAGCACATAGAAATACACGCAGGCAAGGACGTTAACATAGTTTATGACAGCGCGAGCTGTCATGCTCCTCTGCACCACCAAAAGGGACGCACAGACCTCATTGCCTGGCCTCACTGGTGAAGTCAGGCGGAAAGAGAAAGTTGTGTCACCAGTACCAGCCTGGAAAGTGGAATTAAGTCAGCGGTTAATGTTTCACACGGTATAGCGTAAGTTGCGACAAAGTATCTTGTACCTTAAGATACACAATACATTATCGAATGTAACGAAAAGACAGATACAAATACTTGCGAGACATATCGCGATATAGATACAAGATACCCAAAGAGTATCTGAGATAGTATCTCACATGTATCTTCAATACTGCCCAGCCTTGGATAGAACCCAGAGACACACAAAACCCTTTTATTATGAATTTATGAATAAATCCCTTTATTATAATGATTGAGAAGAAAATATTGCAAAATTATTCGATAGTTTGTTCACAGTAGGTAGGAACAGAGATAGGAGCATGAATGAAGGCAAAGGCACACAAAACTGGTTGACGTTTTCACATTACTACAACACAGTCGTTTTACTTTGTGTGATTGCCTTCATCCATGTTCTTTGTATTTGCTACAAAAATAGAATTACTGTGTAGAAAAGCTGACTTCAGGAGCTGCAAAGATTCTAACAGGTACCTTTGTGGCCACTGTAAATGGCCTACTCAAATTTGCAAAATAGGCTGTTTATAATCAGTTACTTTCTCCAACTGCACTTAGAAAACAAAAAAAAAAACAAATATTTCATTACTTTTTGGCATTTTCAAGGTCACTAGACATCGCAGTTTATGACTATGATGCTGCCAATAATGTTCTTAGCCACTAATATGGGTATTTTTGGATTAAAAAAAATTTAAGTTGAGCATATTGGCATGTAATGTAGGTGCAAACTAGTAAATGCTGGCAAGGCTTTAGTGGAGTTGGTGAAACATCCCCACATAACATATTACTTGTGACACTGAGGGAAGCATACACAAGCAATTAGTAAACAGACATTCACACAGTACCTCTTTTGAGAAAATGCTAGTTATGAGACATCGCACTTTGTCATGATGGTGAGCATCTGCTCAACGCCTGCAATTACACAAATGCTTCCTGGTAATCAAAACATATAAGACATACTTTCATTAGAAATTTAACACCTGAAAACAAGTTATTCAATCAACTTATAAAAGCATTGAAGAACCTGATTTTGTTTACTGAAAGGTACCACACATTTGCTCCAAGAAGCCGCAGAAAAAAATAGAAAAAAAAAACACAGTAAGGGTAAGTAGAGCTGGAAAAAGTGCAAATTGATAATGTTGCAAAAAACAAATAGTAGCAGTATTATTTATTATGAATGGCAATATCTATTAGTGTATTTCCCTCCTTATTCTGTACAGACGACATGCCAAGATTGTTAATACTTCATATTTTAAGAGCACTGCCACAAAAAATTTTATTCGATACACATGTCAATGTGAAAACTCTGTGATCGTGCACAATTCATAGTTCTTGTTTATAAATTAAGTATTTATACATAATATATGTTCAGTAAATTACCAAATATTAGCTTCCATCAGCTGCATAGTTATCTGCAGAGTCAAATATGCCAATTGGAAAGTGAAAATTCTTCAACATGGGTATGTATTTCTGAAGCTCAGACACTACTTTGCATATTGTAACCCTATAAGGTACACTCTACACTTATGGCCTATGCCACTTGTACAATGTCATTTTTTACCTTACAAGAAAGTCCATAAAAAAAACATTGTCAGCATTACTAAGGTTAAAGCAAGCTAGTTTCAAAAATGAGAGCAGAAATAATTCAATTAATATGTTGCCCTTCCTGTAGAGAAATAGTATAATAAAAAAGTAAAAATAATAACAGTGCTCTAGCAGGTGACACAAACTGACATTATAAGAGAAAAAATACAAAATCACAGTTCACAACAGCAACCCAATGGGCTTAGCAACAAGTGGCATGTTAGCAACGCTGGCTGGCATGTCCTATAAGTAACAGCAACTATGCCGGACATAACTTGCAGAACTGTGCAACTAATAATAGCAAGCTCCCATGTGATAACACGGGAGCTTTTTCTTATGTCATCTCAACGTTCAAGGGTTCACTTAAAAAAAAAAACATTGTCTCCCACAAGGCTGATTTTAATAAAACATTCATCAGTTCAATAAGATGGTGTTAGCTAAAGCTTATGCTCGTGACATTACTTCTACATAGCCCCTAAGTAAGATGTGATCGTCGCGTTATCTCCAAGTTATACTATGCATGAGCACCCTTTTTTAATTCCTCTATATTATCTTGCCAAAGTAGATTTCTCACATTTCTCCCCCCCCCCCCCCCCAAAATTCAAATTCCAACTATCATTTTGCATGAAAAACACTGCAACATCCAGAAAATTATTATTCTACTATTTCTTCCTTGGCACTGCTAAAAATTTGGACTCCCGGAAATTCATGGCACATAAATTATCATCAGTGCACATACCAAGACAGGTATAAAGAAAAAGCTAACATGACACAATATCTCTGCGAACAAAACTGCGACACAACAGAGCTTATTTGCAGCATAACAGTTTTATAAAACAAGAAAATATGCGCTGAAACAGCAAGCAGTCACACATCTTAAAGGCACATAAGTGGCTATTGTCTCATCATCTTCAAAACAGCATGATCAATTCATGATACAGAGTTTACAATTAGACACTGACAACAGAGTAACTTGTGACCAGTTTTCAACAACCAAAGAAAAAAAGGTACACCACAAACACAACCACATATTAAACACCATATTCATTCTAGAATCAACAAACAAAATGTCAAGGAAAAAGATCGGTCAGTAAAAGGACAATATACAGCGTTTTTAAAGCGCAAAGCCTTTTGGTTACTAGGGGCCCCTTATATGAAGCAATTTATGAGTGGTCAAAGAAACTTGTTGTTAGAAAGTTTTGCATTCCACACCTAACAGTAAGCTGCTGCATAGTAAGTTGCCAGATAACAGAACAATGGTGAAAATGATTCATGTAACAGCGGCTCCTTTGTACGTCGACATCATCGCACAAAGCCGCTCGATACATGCACAAACGCTTTTATCCAGTAGGATCAAAAGCTTCATACAAGAGGCCCGAGGTGCATAAATACAGGCACAAGCCAGCAATGGCACATAAATTTCTAGGAAGTACATGCATAACCTTGTCCCCCTTACATACACACACACACACACACACACTCAAGCACAGAAGAATTGAGATGAAACAATGCTCTCGCCCAGTTCATGCACACTGCTGCAAGTGCTCTCACTGGGCAGCTCTGACTTATGTCACCGTACCACACATGATGATAGGGAAGGAACCATGAACCCTGGTCATTCAGAGATGTTTCCAGCATACGTACAGCCAGTGTGGCTACACCTAAAAACCAGAGCCCTCAGGAGCATAATTGCTTTTATTTTTATGATTGCATCACCAGTAACATGACTCGCACAGCAACTATATGCTGCAGCCAAACCTTTGAGAGTTGGGGCTAAATGGCCACGGCCACTTCATTGAGAATGTCTCGAAGCCGTGAAAGCAAAGCATCTAGACTGTCTGGGTCCCGCTCGCTGCTAGGAAGACTTCGATGAAGAAGAAGCAAGACATTCTTGTATTCCATTTCTTGAAACTGGGCACCATGCTCTACTATCAGATTTAATATGTCCTGTAAAAGAACATGTCTCTACATGTAAACTGAAGATGACTGAAAACTTTTAAAACAATTGGTCAGAAATTTCAGCATATAAATTTAGTGGCCCACCTGACAAAACCAGGAAACCATATATCATATCCAGTTGAGCTTGTTAGTTATTCATTGCACAGGAGAATGACAAAAATAAAAAGCTAACGAGAATAAAGTGGAGCTTAATGACGATACACAAATTTGTAAGTTAATTTAACATCGTACGTATGTTCATAGTGACTCTCTTAGTCTTTGTTCGACTTCTGTGCTGTTCCCCTGTACAATATATACATTGTCGAAAAAAAAGGGAAAACAGAAAAACATTTGCAAACAATAAAATGGTTCAAGTACATTAGAGTTGAAGTGGCCATCACCAATGCATCACTTGTAGAGCAACTGCCTGCATATCTTGCAAGGCCAGATACACCTCTGGCTAACAACATCAGTCTCCTACACTTCACAAAAGTTCAAAGCAGAGTATCTATGACACACAATTTAACTATAACTTTATTACTTTTAAAAGCCACTTTGAGCTGTAGCTATGCCACAATATTATTTCGTACACTAATTGCTTAGAAAATAGGCTTAATATCTATGCCATTGCAAAACACTTGGCTGAATTTCTCACTGCTGTTCCACAAGAGGCATATTGAAGTAAAAAAACTTCAAAACTGCCCAGCATAAGCATCAGGAATAAATATTAGCCTCTATAAACATTAAACCAATTTTTTGTATTTGTGGACTTATGTATGCCAGCTAAAGAAACTGAAATTCAAGAAAACACAAACTGTGCCATTTAAAATGACATTTGTCTATTACACACTTATATGTATCAGCATGTCAAGCCCTTTCAGACGCAATCAAATGTCCACTGCAGTTGCAAAAACAGCCTTAGTAGCAGGGAGTTCCACTACTTAATGACAGGTGCTTCCAAAAGGCTTTATCTTTGTTTTATCTTTCCCTGCACTTGCTTAAAGTGCAGAATTCAGGCATGACACCTATCCTCCTGCAATGGTGGCAAGATCATCCTTCATTTTTCTTCTCCACTTTAACTTCCGTTGCCATTATTATTTGTATATTTTAATGAGGAGGCATGCTTATTTCCTTTACGCTTTCCTCACATCAATGTGCATTGTTTTAACATGGCTGTTACCAGGATTAAATCAAGCCCTTTTATTTTCCAACAACAATGTTTTGTCCTTAGAGACACAGAAGCACCATCTTGGTCAGAACGCTAAAACTAAATCTGTTCCCAAAGTGGGGACAGAGGTGCAGATACTTATCCGTTCATGTATTGCTACTTAAGATTCAACTGCAATGTTCAGTGCAGTTTTATTTTGCCCATCGTACATAAGACACAAGACGTAGAAACAAAAGAAGTACAGTCCTGTCTTCTTCTTCTTTTATTCCCTAGTCCTCAGCACAGTTTTAGTTCTCTTTAACATTTCGTGAACCAATTCGCAACAATCAACATATCTGACACAGATAACTTACCTTCGAATCATTAAACATTGCTATGACTTAAATACACTCGAGTGAAACGATCCAAGCAGCACTGCTCAAGCAACCGTACTCGTAAGATTACCAATACTTGCCCCCCCCCCCCCCCCTTGTAATTTTCTATTTTTTTCGTTTCTTGTTACCAATCCTGAACTGTGCTGAGTGCATGAAGCATCTCCCAGTTTTGTGATAGAAGTAATCGTCTGAACGACAGTTTGTAAGGACCGGTCGATGTTTCTACATAAATATAAGTGAAATAGTGAAAATAGCTACAGCAGCCATACTCAAAAAGAGGGCCAAGAAGGGATACAAAAAAATCAAGAAATATGGAAAGCTAGCTTTTCTACGTAATTTGCCAAGACTGCACTTACAACTCCTAGTACTCTAAAAGAGCAATTGACAAGATCACCTCATCAGTCTTTATAGTCTCTTCAAAACTTATGAAAAAACCTGGCCGATCCCTCCATCTAGGAATTGGTATATAACACGAAAGTGAAACGGATCCTTGCAGAGGCAGTTGACCGTTTGTTGAGAATCGTTTTGCCGCACCACAAGGGCAACGGAATGAATGCTACAGCAACAAATTGTAATGTCACACAAAGAACAGCGAGCAGCTCGAAACTTGCAACTCACACCTCTAGCAAAATCCATGTGCAAAATGAGCACACAAAGGACAAGTGCGGACTAACTGTCGAAGCTCATCATTTAAAGCATGCTTTTAAAACACAAAAAATATGAAATGAATTCACAAGTACGCACACGACGAGCACGCACAACTGCCACAATTCCTTTTTCTTCGAGTGTGAGCAGCGCGCTTCTTCCGTAAATGCAGCCGCAGCAGCAAGCGAAGTGATGTTCATGCACTCTTTAACCACAGTAACTTGAAAGCAAACTTGTGGCGGAAGCACAAAACGTACAAAGCACTAAAATCAAGAGATAAGTGTGAGCACAAATATTGCAACGCCCTGGGCGACTACCTTTAGAACAAGCCCAACACGCGCCCTTCTCCCCATCTTGCTACTGATGACAAAAACATGCTTAAACTTAAGCTGCTAAGCTCAGAGTACAACCAATAGTATATGATGTATATATATAGCTCGCTATTAATTAGCTGGACAACCCGCACATTGTGGCGTAGTGGTTTCCCACAGTGCACCGTAGAGTGAGAGGTTGCACGTTTCATGCCTAATAATGAAACTTTTTTTCCCCATTTTTCTCTTTGCAACCTGTTAGTATATATCTTTTAGCGTCACATCCATGATGGAAATACATAAACGGAGCGAGCCGTGATGAACCCCGCCATGAAAACGCTTGTGTTAAAATAAGAAATCCAGTCAACTAACCTCTGGTGTCAAGTAAAATAACTCAAAGTACTGCCTTGCATAATCCAGGGCCACCTCGCGGTTCATTGTGATGCTAGTCAGTGTTTGCTGCATCGCAAAGATGTTCCTGCAACTAGATAGAATGCCATCTTGTGAGAACCGTCAACATGGTTATTTCTGCAGAATGAATGTTAAACCAAAAGTTAAACAGCCATTATACATACACAAATACGCTGTCACACAAGAAAAGATGAATAAATCAATAGAAGCCTTTCAACACACAATGCCAAATTATTTTTGCATAATATGCCATAAAGGCATGACTATGGTACTGCATAGCACATAAAGTTAATTAAAAGATGCTTTTCTATATTAAAAAAATATCAAGAACCTTGTCTAGAACTAAGTCATTAAAGAGTCCTGCAACTCTTTTTCAGCATGGTCATAATATGCTGCGAATGGGTAATTGTTAGGCTTGTGCGAATACAGTCGCCGACCGATTTTCCGGACTCCAAAAATTCGGACTTGTTGGATATTCCGGACTTCATAAATGCACCGTCAGGGATCCCATAGAGCTAATGCATTGTTTCGACCGATTTTTCAGGCGAATTTGCCCCTGAAAGTTCGATGTTTCGGACTAAATCGCTCGTTTTGTGCCACGCCCCAAGCCATTGTGAACGCCGCCATGTTGAATTTTCTGTCGGCTTGGCTAAGCTTGGTCTTCAGATGCTTTTCCTGCCTCCGAGATTGGAATGCGCACGCCATATTTTAAGTTTCGGAGGCCGTGTTTGCTTTTTAAAAGACGCGGTGATGGATGCCGTTTTTTCGTCTTCGGTCAGCACTATCGTCATCACATCGCACGGGGAGGAGGCGAAAGAAGGATTCTCTACCTGCCACAATGACATTTAAAGACTTCACTCGTGTGGACGACGACATTGTTTCGTGCGCGGAGGCCACTGACGACGAAATTCTTCGCTAGGTTCTCCCGGAGCCGGAGAGCGGCTCGGATGACGACAACGACGACCGCCCGCAGCCGTCGGCAGCGGAGATCGCCAACGCGGTGACAATTTTGTCGAGCGTTTATGGCGACGATGTCACCTTGGCGCAAATACGGGCAAACCAAATTGCCTCCAAGCGTAGTTTGAGGCAAGGCAGCATCAAGGACTTTTTTTAAACCTGCCTGATGCAATAAACTTCAGATTTTTGGCGAAAACGAATTTTTCGGACTGTTCGATTTTTCGTACTTTTTTTCGGTCCCCGCCAGGTCCGAAAAATCGGTCGGCGACTGTAGTGAATTTCAGGGTCGAAGCGAATTCGAAGCGAATAGTGATTTTGGTCGAATAATTTCGAATCGAATTCGAATAGTATGTATGACATATAAAAAAAAGGGAATATTATCATAACCTAACTAACCTGCACGATATTTCTTTTGAATTGAAATAGAGGCTCTAAGCAAATGTTTTTTTTTTGTTGAAAGAAAGTCGAAACAACCTTGATTAGTAGTTTGGGTAGGATCCCAGTGATAACCTGTAAGATACGTAACATTTTAAAATTTATTATACTTAAATCATATAAACCATCATAACAAGCCTAATAAAATGGATTGATTTTGAGGGTAACAAGTTCCTTTAAAGGGGCCCTGCAACACTTTTTCAAGTATCCATGGAGCCAGTAAACATGCTTGTCGCCTCACAAATTTACCGCCGCAAAGTTTCTAGAAGCGTTCCAGTACGAGCGGAGTTCCAAAAATTTGTCGCATGCTGCAATTGCATTCTCCATTCTCGACCCGTCAAAAAATCTAGAAGCTAAGTAGGGAAGGATGGCACGAGAATAGAAAAAAACGTCATGAGCGCCTAGCGACCTCGAGCATCTCTTTTTTCTTCGAATACAAGGCCTTTCAGTGCGATCGTGCACGTACTTGTGGACAAGCAACGGCCTCACGCGGCGGTCCGATGACGAGGGCGCCATGCTCGAATCAGCCAATGACTGTGACCCGAGCCGTATTTTCCTTCTTGGCTGTGACAAGTGATTTATGAGCTTGTAGTGTCATTTGCTGAGGGAAGAGAGCAATTTTTAGGTTTGAAAATTTATTGTGAATTTCAGGCCGCATGCTGCGCAATAATTCTCGCCTCGCCTGTTCTCGGTAGCCTCTACTACTGATCGGCAGCGTTTTCTGACCATGCTCAGCAAGTGTTGCAGGGCCCTTTTAAATTTGAAGGGAGGCTTCATGGCAAAGCAAATTTCTCCCGAGTAGGTGCTTTCACGGTTTTACATTACTACATTGCAGTGAAATTACCTTTACAGGCAAACTAGTGTACATTTATTTGTTTATTGCGAATACTTCAAAAATATTCGATAATTTGAATTCGAATCAAAGCGAATTCGAATACTCGCCTATTCGTTCGAATATTCGAAGCATTGGAATATTCGCACAAGCCTAGTAATTGTGGCTCCTGAGAACATGTAAGTCAAATATAAAAGTGCAGCATACGGCCTGGAATATACAAATGATTCTACAAACTAGCAAGAAATTGCTTGCTCTTCCTTCGACAAATAATGCCATAAGCCCAAATGACTGCTCCATTAACAAAGTCTCAGTGGCTGATTTGAGCGTTGTGAACTGCATATGCATAGTTAATCCGGCTACCATGGGACGCCGCTACATGCCCATGCGCGCACTTGTGATTCCACTGAAAGGAACCCGCACATTCGAAGAAACGAAAGTGTCCAAGGTCATGATGTGCGCTGATTAACAGACCTAGTTTCTTGATCCTTCCCCCCAAACATTGTTTCAGAGCATTTGCTCGTATTAAATGAGAAAGCGCTTAAAAGCAGGCAACAAATTCCTGTAACTCCATTCGTACTTGATGGATTCTGAAAGTTTTGTGGCAGTCAATTCATGAGGCAATAAACTCTCTTAATGAAACTGTTCGATAATACCTAGAAAAAATGTTGCTGGGCTCTTTTAAAACATGCACACGCATTATTATTAAGTCTGACACAAGCCAAAAGTTTTATAAAGCCAATGATATGGAAACCAATTTGTTCTATATTTGTTCATTTTATTTATATCCGATTTGTTCATCTTATTTATATGTTCTATAAATAAAATAAGACTGATCTCAACAACTGTCTTTGTGGCTTTCCATCAGGGTGCGCTACATGACACAGGCATGTCCATCAAAACAGCCTAGATAATTAAGTGAAAACCCAAGGGCCTTACACTTTTTTGATGCCATTCTCATTGACCTTCTGTATGCTGGATGTGCTGTTGATCAGGATGGAGGCAATGAGGTGCCCTAGCCCTTCGAATATGTACCTGCAGTGGTTAAAAAAAATGGTTAACTTGGTGAATGTAAAAAACTACCGTGCCAGCTTGCATTGAAGCTTACTCCCAACTCCCAAACATTGATAAAGAAGACTGGTTATATTTCGCTGAAACAGACACAGTGCAGACAGGTCTTTCATCCTGAGCTGCAGTTGTTTTGCAGCTCTTCTGTATGTTTTGGTACCTGACATCATCACAAGCCACGGGTGTGTAGTCACCAGAATCAATACTGTGGCCCGACGTCACGATACTGTAAATGTCAATTGCTGCACCACATGAAAATTGACTTTAATGTGAAAGTAAGCTATCTTATCAGCATTTATTTAGCCTCACACTTGCTCAGAGCCATCTATGCAAGACAGGGGACTTGAATGACAGACTTAACTCAGCTTCGAAAACTGGTGTCAGTATCCCTTTAACAGAAGAAGCACACGTGCAAATATCTTAGGTCAACTTTTTAAATGAAGCATAATAGATATTTCTCTATTCCACATTCTTGTGGAATACAGAAATGCAGTTTTCAGCACATATAATAATAATAAAATAAAAAATAATAATAGTAATAATAATACGTGGGGTTTACCATCTCCAAACCACGATATGATCCCTTTGGCTAGGAACCAATTTTGCAGTACAGAAGTGAACATGACAAGTTAATGAGTATTTATCCTTCAAGCTTGAAATGTAAATGCAAATTGATATTTACATACTTGTTCGCAAAGTCATGCCACTGAACAGTGATGCTGAAATAGAGCATAGGCAGTATCACATCCTAGACAGCTGCGACAACACTGTGTAGAATCTAGATTTCACTGAAGTGTAAACCTTCAAAGCTGAAATATTAGCCTCAGGTGCACCTGTGTTTCCTCTGTTGTAGGCAGGCTGTCATTGCTTCGTCGATGCTGGAGAGGTCTTTGTTCAGCTTCATCACTTCAGGGTCAGGCTCCTGGCTGTCTACACCACCCGCAAAGTTGCCCTATGGACCAAACATGCACTCCCATCAAAACTCAAGAACTGCCATGGGAGAAATCTTTCGACAGTGAAAAGAATACAGAGGCAATACACAATTAAAGCTGAAGGTGGGCCTAGTTGGCTTTGACTTCAAGTGAAAACAATTTACCAGGGAGAACAACACAAGAATAAAGAAAGAAGCACACAAGATGATCACGACCAATCATCAGGTGTGCTTCTTTCTTCATTCCTGCCATACTCTCATTGGCAAAATGTTTTCAAGTAATATACAAAACCTAACGATAAAACTAGATTGAATAAGTCAGTCATCTTCCTCTGAATTTTCCAGTCTGTCTTGTCTCAATGTGTTGCAAGGCTTACGAGCTACAGCTAACTATAACTTTTTAGTGCCAATTACTCAGAGCCCTCGATACACTCACTTGTATAGTCACAGGAAGGAGATAAAAGAAGCAGTGCACTCGCACTTCCAGGTGCAACACCAAAAGGCAGGTATCAGCTATTTCTTGAAAGTCCTTTGCCAGCTCCTTCAATGTCCTGAAGAGAATAATGACGCAAAACATAAGATTTCAACACTTTTTTTTTTTTCATCAAAGACAAAGACTTACTGGACAGTCGCATCAGGAACTGGTGGCAGATCCTGAACCTGTAAAAAAAAGAACAGTGTATCCACAACAGCCACGCCCACACGCCCACACACATTGAATTTGAGTAGTTCTCACCAAAGTGCTGGCAGTTACTTCCTCTATGGTAACCACACAAGTGATAAACAGTTTAATACAGCTTGATGTACAATACAGCACAATATACACAAGGTCATAAAAAAGAATTCAACAGGTTATTTTATTTAGCTAATAAATACTGAAATTTCCATAAAATATTTCAACAGAAAGTGGACAAGTAATATGCCACAAAACTACTATGTAGAATGGATTGTCTCTAGCACGGTGTATAATACAAACACTTTAGGTGGAGACGCTCGCGAGACACGGTCGACCAGATAAAGTAACAACGACGCGCATCCGTAAAACTGCTGCCGGCAGCACTGCGAGAGGCGTATAGACCCAACTTGAAAACAGAAAGAGGCATTGCTATAGCAACCGGTCCTTCACAGCAAATTTGAATTTAATTACACAGAAGCGTTGTTTCTGTGAAAGAGTGAAAATTGATTACTCTTCTCAACAAGCATGAAGGCTGTTTTGCGTGACACAAAAAGTTGCCATTTTCAGTCTGCGAATTCGCTCACAGTGAAAAAAAGACCAGTTCGCTCCCGCCACAGCGTTTCGTGGCGAGCTTCCAACCTGTTGAAAGTTTTCACTCTGATCGCAGCAGCGGGAGCGATTTTTGGTCGGTATCCCTCAAATAGGGCAGGGCCGGCCAAGCTGTCGAAATAGAGTCGACGTGTTTGTTTTGGTAATGGCCACTGTTGCGCATTTTAAAGTGCATATAATTAGATTAGAAAGTGTTTGCAAAGACGAAACACAAGTGCTCTTCGTTGCCGTTCATGCAAATTCAATAATGTCATAACGAGCAGTTTGTTACATTATATTTGAAAAATTTTATAGTGTCTGCCACAATGAACAGTGGAAGAAACGTTGCAGAGCGAAAATCGAGGATTGTTCGTAACAGACACGAACATAATTGACATCTTTTCCAAAATTTTGTATGAAGCGGCTCTACATTTAAATGCGCTGGTTTTCGTGTATTTGCTGATAGGTGGTGCACTCGAATTGGCAAGCTGGATCTGGCAAGCACGGGAACAGCATGGTGGGACGCACATGCTTTCGATGGCCAGCAAAGCAGAACTTCAACGAGACTTCAAGATTGCTCATAAAAAAAAGCAACCACTTAGACACCTAAACAAATTTGTTGCTGTGCACTACAAAGCTATGTATACCAGTTGGTGTTGCCCCAAATTCTACCATTGCGGCTCCAACGAAAATTATATGGCATGAAGGTCACGACCACGTGATTACCCGTTGGGATGGAGGCATGTACACGGGGGACCCTGTGCCAATCTTCTCGCTGATTTCACCATCCCTTCTTACCGTGCACGGAAAGCGCATTACAGTATATATATTTTTTTTTTTTTGCATTGAACATCAGTGGACTTATTTATGGATGCCAATGTAAACGTGCTCACAAAAAGCAGTGAATTCACAACGTAACATAGTGAAAAAATGTTTACTACGCCTGTAACAGAAAAACAATATTTATTGCAACGTATCACTGTATTGAACAAACATAATACAGCAAAAATACTCATTTACATTCACGACTTAGGGAATGTATATACTGAATCTCATGCAACTTGCACCACTGCAAAGGCAAGATATGATTGAACAATACAACAAGAGGAGTCTAAACGTTGCAAAGCCTTGCCTCTTTTTTTCTGTTGCAGCTTTCTTTAGCTGCATTTCGGCCTTGCGTCTTGAAGCATTGCTGCATTTTCATAGTGTTGTAATAGCACAGAATTCTGACAACTGCGTCAAACTTGTGCTCACTGAACAGAAACGTCGACTTCTGTTCAGTGACAAACGCGACGCTCTCTGAACGCAGGCGTTTCCACTGGCCTCGCCGGTTGCTATAGCAACGGCATGTGAAACGTTCTTTTATTTTTATGTTGGGCTGGTTTGCAGCTACATGCGCTGAACGTTCTTTTATTTTTATGTTGGGCTGGTTTGCAGCTACATGCGCTGCCGGCAGCGGTCTGACAGACACACGTCTCCGTTACTTTATGTTGTCAGTCGCGTCCCATAAAAAAGCCGAGAAGTGTCCCCACCTAAATTGTTTGCATCTTACACCGTGGTCTCTAGACGACCGAGACAGCACTAAAAATCGAGCAGGGCTCAAGTACTATGACAAATAAATATGTATTTACGTATGCTTAATATAAAAAATCTGAGCCACTTAATACATGAAACACACACAAGATAGTAACAGCAGTTGATTACTGTAACAACCAGTATCCAGTCATGAGTTCAAAGCAATTATCTGCAGTGATGTGTACAGCTATTGCTTACTCAGCAATGTTCTTCAAAAGGCATAAAATTATGTGCACACAGCCGACTTCGGTTCTTGCTCCTTATGTAACAAACTACAAGATGCCTTGTGACAACTGGAATAACAGAAAAGCCAACAGGTGCCTTTATCTGTGCAATTACATTTGCAGATTAATTCCCTCCTTTCATGTGGCCAAGCAAGCAAGGCATATTACATTCTCACCATGTGAGCTCACTGAGAACAAAGACGAATCTGCCTCTTACACAAAAGGTACTGATACACTACACACCACCATGCACAATATATAGCTCGAAACTGCTTTCAATAGCGCAGCACAGTAATCGAAGGTATGCGACACAATATTCCTTATCTGCCCATCCTTTTCTTGACTCTTTAGCAGGCCCTTCACCAGGCCCTACTGCAAATTTCAGTTCATAGAAAATTAAGGCCAACCTAGTTCAATGTTACAGAAGTAATTTTTCAAATTGCTTCTTTACTGGAAGAGTTGGAAGAAATACAACTGCGCCGCTATTATACGAACAGGAGGGAAGAGAAGATGGCATCTCCTCCTTTGTCATGGCTAGCACCCGCAAGCACCATACTTTCATTCTTTCCAGAACAATTACTGCCTCTGCCTTTTTTTTGCTGTTTTAATTTTGCTTTACAGTGTGTTATTATTGGTGGCACACATCTGATCATGGATGGGGGGGTAATCGCAAGCAATGCATGTAGCATAGCACATGCAAATGTGATACTTTTGAAGTGCAGCATGGCTCCCTAAATAAGGAGGGTGCGTGTCACTTCGTCTGAAATCTTGACCGTTTTCATGCAGACAGCTATTTTATAACTTTCTAATACATTTGCGATTCGACATGCCTTGCTTGTTCATTTGTAATGCCAAACCTGGCGAGTAACTCTTTAAGGAGCAGACATACAAACTAACTAAACAAAATGCTCATTTGAGTGAGTGAGTGGGAACTTTATTATGGTCCATTGCAGACGCAGACGCTGAGGTTGCCACGCGTCACCCGGCTACATTTACATGAGGACCGGCAGGTCTCGCCTGACGGCCCTGTCGCGGGCACACTGGACGGCCAGGATTTGGTCCTGAAGTTCTGGGCTGTGCAGAAGCGCATCCCAACAAAATGCCCATTTTTCATCTCAATGTTGAAACTGCCCCAATAGCATACCTGCCAACCTGGCAATTGAGGAATTTGTAACACCCCCGGGCGATGAAGGGAAGTGAGAAGAGGGAGGGGTTACCTTTTTTTTTTTTATTTATATGACCGATTTCCCTTTAGCAACAAGCATAATCATGTTTTGCTGCCTTAAGCCAAATCGATGCGCTGAATTATTTCCCCCCCCCCCCCATTTTTGTCACTAAAAGAAAAACAAAACAAAAAACATCGTAAAAAATGGGGGAGGGGGGGGGGGGGGCAAACGCAAGCACAAACGTCCGCATGCGGTCTCATAATGGCTTGGAGTGGCCGAACACACAAGGGTAGGGTTTTCCACTAAGGTGAGAGTCTCAAAGGGGGAGCGCAAATTCTCCTAAAATTTTGCGTCATCAAAACAACTATAGCCATAAAATCAATTTCCGTCAAAACAACTCGCGTATGTCTTCACAAGTGAACGGATGGGACGGCGCAGCTGGCTGCCACGAAAGCGTGGGTCAAAGCTTTAGCTTTGCTCGCTATTAGATTTTCAGGACAGGAATTCCAAAACGCTTCTAGCCTTTTTTACATCTTTACCGCCTTTAATCTACCGCTGCGTCAGCCACGAGTGCTCTGAGCTCGTAGATCGCTATCACATCGCCGTGACGGTTACAGCAAATATCAGCTTTGTTTTCAATCCAAGTGCCTTCAAAACTAAGTCGTTTTATGCTATCTATGATCACAACTGCCGCGGTTTTGTCCAACAGACTTTGCGGAAAGTAGTGTTGCTTTGACTGGTCGAGGGTTGGGCGTAAGTACGCTTTTAGAGTTCTGTCAGTAGTCGTCCCCATACATAATCATGTTGAACTACCGCGGTTTCGTCCACAGCAGTTGTGGCAACGACAACCATATGCACTGTAGAAGATAGTGCGTGCGCTGGTCGCATGCATACTTCCGAAGTTCGAGCACGCTGCTGTCGATCGGCCTTCATTCGACGGTTGCAGTACTATTGGCCCAATGGACACATGAATTTGGCTTGAGAATTTCACCAATTTGTAGCTGCCGCGGCTCCACATCAGTGAGACTCTACTGTACGTTTACATGAGCGCCTCTCAAATTCGTTTAAAACAAAATGTGGTCGGCTCTCAAAAAGCCTGGAACAGACTGACTTGCACTTCTGTCAATGCGGCCACATCTCGCACACAAATTTAGATTTCCGGGAGATATTCATGGCAACCGTACAAACGGAAGAAACCATCGAAATCCGAGTCTCCCGGACAATACGGGAAACTTCGCAGGTATGTGATGATGATAAAACTAATACATATTGTTCTCTCCTGGTGGCGGAATATAGCACAATGCTGTTTTTGTGGCTTCCGCGACTAGCTACGGCAATGCACCATAGCCAATTGCGGAGGCCATGCTATTTTAGTAATGTTTATCAAAAACAAAATATTTTTCGTAACACTTCAAACAAGATTCGTAAAATCGTAAGCACAGTCAAAATTCGTACATTTTACGGGATAATCTGAAGAGTTAGGAGGTATGCAATAAGCACATTCAATTTTTTAACAATTCTGAATGAAAGTTTTTCAGCTCGAGGGAGGCAACACCAAGGCAGAACTCTGGAAACGCACTTCACCCCAAGCCATACATGGCTTCATTTGAGACTTGCGTAGGCAGCGACCTTGCTTTACATCATCTGTGTAATAGTAATATAAAAGATTATCGCAGATCAATCTGTCTTCTCTGAAAGAGCTTTCAAAGTGGAGTAGTGTGCTGAACTTCCTCTTAACATATTCTTGATTCATTACAGCAAAACACACTCGCTGCCAATCATTCAGTATTGGCCACAAACATTAAGACAAAAAACTTCCTATTCAATACTCAAACTGATATTTTCAAACTCTGGTGTATTGGTGGAAGCCCACATTCTTCTATAAAGGAAGAGCAATAAATACCTTAATGATCATCTATCCGCTTCTCTCCTTATATATTTTTAACATGGGGCTGCATGTTGCACCCATGGGTGGAGCAACAAACTGAGCAAAGTTGGTAGCATTCTCAAGTATAGAACAGCGCTACAGGTGACTGATTTTTTCATGATTCCACGGCACTAGACATCGCCTCACAACTTTCTGGCTCGGCACAACGAACCTTTCCAGAAATCACAGCGCCGCGCCTTCCCTTGGTTGATCGGCGCTGGGGCATTATGGGAGAGCGGAGTGCCGGTGGTCAGAGTAGACGACGCTTTCCCGCTTTTATCGTGCGCCGTGAGTGGTTTTGGCTGGTGTAAGGAGCTGTTATTGTGAAGAAAGGCTTTTTCTGATCGCTCCGACTTTCATTAACGCATACTAGACTGTGTTGTTCATTGCAAATAAGCGTAATCATCACTGAATTATGCTCAAAAAGTGTTTCAGTGATCCTTTAGAGGCATTTTATAGCTTTCAATTTATAACCATAATTTACAATGGGACAAGGTGGAGGGCTGTTGTACTAGTTCTTATTTAAGTATTTTATTACTTACCCTACTCCAATACAGCCGAGCCCACACATAACAGCCCCACTTAAAACGAACTTTCGCTTAAAACGAACAATATCCGCATGACCGTGAAAATATAAATTGGTTCAATGGCACAAAATCGCACTTACAACAAACGTTTCCGAGCGCCGCCGATTGGTTACAGCGAACGGGGTCGGCGCTCTGCCGACTTCCCGGGAAACCACTTCCGACCACCGATCAGGCATCGGCGAGGTGCCCATACATTCTTATTGTTAAACGGCGACCCTGCCTCTGCGCCCCTCTAGTTGCCGCTCTCCCCGACTGCTTTTTGTTACGCACCCCTCCGTCCTCTGTCCCCCCACTACTCTGAACACCCCACATCGCCAGACGAGGCCCGTGTTTTCACACTGCCACTGATCTTTCGAAGAACGGTCAGCTATCTCCCCTGTTTTTGATCGCTGGTGCTGTCGTTGGCGTCGCCGGCCTGGAGTGACCAGATCATTTGCCAACATCGTCAGCCACCGACTGTATCCGATCGTCTGCGTCTAGTGCATGCGCGTATGCTATCCTACCGACCTTGATTATTTGCAATTCGTTTCGTGTTTATGACCTGTTTTCGCTCACTTCACTTTCAGCTGAGCGCTGCCTTCCCTGCGAGTGGAAGCGCAAAAGCGGCTCTTCATTTGTGTGAAACAAATCAAAAAATATAGAAGTCAGTGAGGCCACGCAAGCCCGCCGGCGCAACAAAGCGATTTTTTGACCACGGCAGATGATTCTTTGAACACCGCCCCGCACGCTGATCCAGGCCACTGTGCTTTGACTTCTGCGCGTGCAGGCACTCTTTCAAGTTTTTCTACGAGCGAGTTGCGCGTTTCGCGGACCTTTCAAGCAAGCTATCTGACCTGCCTGCTTCCCAACGTGTTTTGGTTTTCAAGGTCACCCTCCCGTCGTAGCCTCCCCTCTCTTCACTCTATCGCAACTCCTTGCCCTTCTCTGCAAATCTGCTCTCCTGTCTTGATCACAACCCCTTCGCCCGTCTCCACCACTCTGCGACGCCAGTCACGCTGGCTCGAATTAGTGTCATTTTCTGACTAGAAACGGGCCCAGTGCTGTTCCACGCGTTTTGGTATATGTGTCGCGTGTGCATGTCTTATTTCGTGGGCGGCGGTGACGCTACATGCACGCGAAACTGTTTTCGCGAGGCCGACTTCGTCGTCGACGTCGGGCCCAATGCCGATACTGAAGCTTCCAAACGGGACCTCTGCGGCGGCAATCTGAGGCAGCGCGTTGTCGACTCAGACATGGAAGAGCGGGTAGGACATCTGTTGCGATGGTTTCATTACTGATGATGATGATGCCGACACCGCGGAACTGTGCACGAATTACGTCATTGTGAATGAAGTACGCGGCAAGAGCGACTTGGAGGAATCGGATTGCGAGAATGACGAAACTTTGGAGCCAGTGCCTCACGCAGCTAATGGCACGGGTCTCGGCAAACGAGCACGCTGCCGTTTGAAATAAACTCGAGGCGCCTCTTATCGCTTCTGCTCTTCAAAACAAATGCATTACGGACTTTTTTGGGCAAAAAAAAGTTGGTGTTTTCACTCGCAACTTTTAAAAATCAGTGTTTCATTTCCTACGAACTTGAGATACAGCAAACGGGTGCCACGTCAGGCTCAGGTTCGTTATAAGCGGGCTTAACATTAAGTTTTTGTGAAGTGGGAAATAGGTGTGAGCATACTAACATAATAGTATCAAGTTCAGTACAGACAGGGGCAGATCACACAATAACAGGGCTATTTTAGGAAAATGCTGTAAGTATCAAAGGTGTACACACCGATTCCTTTGGAGAAGCAAGAGCGCAAGTTGATCCTCGTTGTTTTTCTATGTGCATGACACAAGTAGCCATGCTTTGAATTCGTGAGCTCAGCCATTCCTAGGTTAGAGAAAAACAACAACAAAAATTTGCACTTTTCATCTTCAATTAATTAGAAATGGCATCTTTGCTCACAAAAATAAAATGGGCATCTGTACATCTAGTGCTTTATTTGAGTGAAGAAATCGCTTATGGCGCATGGTACCTCAGATAAAGTGTATAGTCTGCGGTCACTTTATGCGACTCGTTTGGGGGGGGGGGGGGCGAATTAATCACAAGTCTGTGTTAAGGAAAGACATGAAAATTTAAGGTCTCTTTTTTTCTTAGATACAATAATAATGAGAACTTGTTATTGTCTGCTGGTCCTCATTAATATTAAGTCCATGTATTACATTGCGAGTTCCACATTACCAGGAATAGCCTTTGATATTGATGATAACAGGCCAATGAGAATAGTGTTATTGCTGTGGACGCGCGTATTAAGAAGCACCATCACCCTCCCCCTTCTGCCCATTCCCCACTTTTCATAATCTTTGTACTAAAAAAAAAAAAAAGATAAGAGTTCCATAGCACTCTGGAAAAGCCGTTGGAGTTCCCCAAAGCCTACAAGTTTGAGAACCTCTCACACAGAGACAGCCTATTCATTTTTCTTGTGCCACTCTACGTACCATAACACAGCAGATGGGAACCATACTGCAACCAGCTTTATGCACTTTGCACCATAAACAAAACTAACACGTAAACAAAGGACCGGACGTATGAAAATCAACTATTTTTTGTTAACACTTAACAGGCAACTATCGCTAGGGAATAGTTTTCAATACAGTCGAACCCATTCATAAAAATACTCAAGTGTCACGAAAGTTCACTGTTATAACTGATAATTGTTATAAATGGGTTACACAAAAAAATGCGAAATAGGTAATGGCAAATGTTGTCTGAAAGCTACAATATCGAATGGGGTATGCTAATGCACACCAGTGATAAGGATGACAAAGCTGCTGATTTCTCATATGTGATTATTATTCGGACGCTTTCTAAGGTCTGCCACAAGCCCCATAGAGCCAATGCTTGATGCCTGAAATTTCGGATGCTGAAACTCTTCCAAGTCTCAACTTTTTACTAAAAACACATGTTGTGAAATGTATGTATACAAGCCACTACTGCTTCCAACGCCATAGCGAAGTTCAAAAGTCAGCTTTACCGCAATGCCAAAATGCTATACGGTGAAGCATACTGCAAATACAAAGAGACACTGGGGGACGTACGGGTTGTGGGCGGGGAATCGGAAGCCTGAATGTCTTGTTTTCTTCTCTCTGTTCAAGGATTTCCCATACCATTGCTTTTTGGTACGGACATCCAACAGCCAGAATACATAAATATAACCGATAATGCAGCATGTGGGCATTACTGTAAGCTGGTTATTGCACACTAGAAAAGCATACAAAAATTGATGGTGCAGCAGCTTCTCATTACAGTAGACTCGCCATAATTAAAACTCTGATAATTCAAACTTTCAGTTAATTCAAACAAAATTTAATTTTTTGGTTAGCCCCCTATTCTTTTATTATTTAAAAAACCTCTTAATTCAAAATCCATAATTTGGTTAACTCATACCTTTTATGCAGTTTCTTACCAGAAAATATCTGCTGCTTTCCCACTACTGTTTAAAATTTGCATGCTTATATAATCCTAACAGTCTAAAAATGAAAAATAGGCACCTCGGGCCTTCAAGGAAAAAGGCTTTGCTAGTAAAGAAATGTTTGAAGCAAATCACACGCACGGTAAACCATGATGCTTCTCAACTGGCATAGAGAGCTTTGAGCTGAAGGCACATACTTATAGCATAGAAGCAGTTGGCAATTCACGATTTCTTTAAAAGGTCCGATCAAGAAGGAAATGGCTAATAAACTTGTGGACGTTCCACCTTCGCTTTCTCTCCATTGCGTGCAGTTCAGATTTAAAAACACTAGAAAAATTTTTTAAATGTGATAAAATAAATGCCTAATCATAATGTGTGGTGTCACCTTGCCCAGAGTCATCTATATGAGAGCTTCTGATAATTCAAAGTTCTTGATAATTCAAACAAAATTCAGAGGTCCCTTCGAGTTTGAATTAATGAGAGTCAACTGTATTATAACAGATATACTATTAAAACCAGTATCATTATATGTGGGTTTGACTGCATACCAACTGCAATGCGAGACCCAAAAGGCTATTTTTATTGCCATTAAAACATTTGCTGAATCTATTGATAATGTCCGACACAGGAAGGTTTCCAAACCAGCATATGTCAAAACTGTGCCACGTCAACACCAACACACCTACCCCAAATAATGAGTGAATGTGCCAATATCACCACCTATCAGCTACAAGAATTGATCAGACAGGAACCACAAATCTCAAAAGTGCCTCTTCCCAACAAGCCCAGTACATAAGAAGTGAGTAGGAATCAATTTTTAAATCGATTCTTACTCACATTCTATAAACTGTACTTTGTTTGCAAATCCGAATATAAAAAATTTATCACTATTTCGCATTGGCCTTCAGGAGTACGCAACTTGGTCTTGTGCACTGCTTTCACAAGGGTCTCAAACACTCAAAGGCAAACAATGTTGATGTGCAGGTGTGGCGTAGGATAGTTCAAAATGCTATGCATAATTTATTCTTTATTATAAGTCTTGGAAAGTAATCAGGGAAAAAGAAAATATGGCTGGACATGTTCTGACCCCTCACAAAACTTGAAGATGCTGTTGATGGAAACCCTGAAGAACTCATGCACAGTACATGAATTGAGAGAGAGAGAGAGAGAGAGAGGAGAGAGAGAGAGAAAACATTTATTGAAAGAAGCTTGTGAGTGAAGGTGGGAGGGTCCCTTATTCCAGGAACCCTCTGGCCTGGACAGCCCGCCGAGCTCGAGCGACGAGTTGACGCTGCTCGACCAGGTCCGGCTGGGAGATCGCAGCCTCCCACGCTTCACTGAGGAGGTCTTGGTCCGCATCTGGTGCTGCTGCTCGTAGTCTTGGGACGCTTACTTTGCACTGCAGTAGGAGGTGCGCCAGAGTGTCTGCCACATTGCAGTGAGGGCAGATGTAGCTGTGCAACGTTGGCCTCATATGGTGCAATAGTACGCCATGTGTGAACGTGTTGCTTTGAAGACGCCTATAGTCAGTCCCTTCGTCTCTTGTGAGTTTTGGATGTGGCGGAAGGTATAACCTGCGTTCGAGCCGATAATGTTGCAGTAATGCATGGTACGTTAGTGGTATAGCTTCTCTTGTCTCTGATTCTGTTGTTGAGTGGGAGGTGCCTCGGATCTTGTATGGGAATGCCCGGTTGACGCATTCGCGGGCTGCGGTGTGTGCCGCTTCATTTCCCTCGAGACCTTCATGACCCGGAATCCACACGATGCATGTGTAGGGAGGAGGATTGTCCATGCGCTTTAGTAGCCTAATCGCCACCGTGGAGACCCTGCCTTTCAGGTAGTTCCGTGCTGCTGTTTGTGAGTCGGTAAAGACCACGATGGGATCCTCACTTGTCTGGGTGGCGAGTGCTATAGCAGCCTCTTCAGCTGTTTCCGCACGTTTGGCGAGGATAGTCGCCAATGCCAGTACCGCGCCCTTGTAATCTACGACGGTAATCGCGAAGGCATTACGTCTTGGATATTTGGCTGTGTCCACGTATCGCGCCTGCGGGTCATTGCCATGTTTTTTCCGGATCATGTTAACCCTGGCGAGCCGCCTTTCTCGGTGATGTTGAGGATGCATGTTCTGAGAGATCTGCTGAATTTCAAGGCTTTCTCGCAGCTGTGACGGTATTTTGCCTTTGCGTTCTTCGTTGGGTTCTAGAGTGGTCTGGTATCCTGTGCGTCGAAGCACGGCTTGCCCTGTGAGTGACAGCTTGAGTCTCTCAACCTAGTTGATGAGGTGTGCTTCGGTGAGTTCTTCCCACGTATTATGAACTCCCATGCGAAGCAGTCGGTCAGTGGAGGCGGCTGGCGGCAGTCCTAGGGCAAGCTTTGTAGCCTTTCGTATCAGCAGATTAAGTTTTTGTTTCTCCGCTGTCTTCAGGTTGAGGTAGGGAGTTCCGTACGTTATGCGGCTGTAAAGGAGAGCTTGTACCATTTTTAGGGTGTCGCGCTCTTTGAAGCCACTGCGGCGATTAGCCACCCTTCGGATTAGGTGGGTGAGCTGTGTCACAGTGTTCTGCAGCCGGGGTAGGGCAGCGGAGCCAGACCCATCTTTATGTATGTGTAGTCCAAGGACTCGAAGCGTGTCAACTTGTGGTATTTGGACTCCCTGTAGAAAGACTTGTGGGTCAGGAGTGTCGTAGCTTGGTGGTCTACCCCGGGTGCGTGCCGCAAGTACTAACAGTTCCGACTTTTCCGGAGCACATTGGAGGCCGTAAGTCTTGAGATATCCTTCAGTAATGTTAATCGCCTCTTGAAGTCGGTCCTCCTGTTCACCCGTGCTTGAACCTCTTGTCCACATAGTGATATCATCGGCGTATAACGCGTGATGTATCCCAGGGACAGCGTCCAAGAGACGTGGGAGCTTAAGGAGGGCCAATTTGAAAAGCACTGGTGATATCACTGAGCCCTGCGGCGTGCCTTTGTTAGGGAGTTGAAAAAGTTCGCTCCTGATATTGGCAATCCCTACAGTGGCAGTGCGGTTGGTGAGGTAAGCCAGCATATAGGCGTATGTCTTGGCACCGCAGCCGACATCTTCCAGGCTACGCAGAATGGCTTCGTGGCTCACATTGTCAAATGCGCCCTTTACGTCCAAAACTAGAACAGATGACTTACTGTGCTTGCTCAAGCAGAGAAGAATATCTTCCTTTATCTGCAAGAGGACGTCTTGTGTGCTGAGCATTTGGCGGAAGCCGAACATGGTGTTCGGATAGTGACCATTGTCTTCGAGATGTGTGGTGAGCCGCTCGTTTACCATGTGCTCAAAGTTTCCCAGCGCAAGATGTAAGGGAAATGGGACGAAGATTCGCAATCGGGATTGGCTTGTTTGGCTTGGGTACCATGGTCACCTCTGAGTGCTTCCAGGCTTGTGGTAGCTCGCCCTTCCTCCAGCAGTCGTTATAGTGCCGAAGGAGCGCCGTCAACACCCGAGGCGGTCGCTGTCGTAGGTGCTTATTGGTCACTCCGTCTTTTCCCGGGCTTGTGTTGCGCGTAAGCTTAGCAAGGGCCGCGTGTAGCTCTGCCAGCGTGAAAGGCTGGTCTAGTGCTTCGTTCAGTGCTCCTCGGTACTCCCTGGGCGTCGAATTGTTGATGGAGGTAGCTTCCTGCTTGAAGTTCTTGGAGTAACTGGTGCTCTGTGCCCTCATAGTAGTGTATGAGCCGCTTAATTGTATTTCTTTGGTTAGTTTTGGTGTGGTGTCGTCAATCAGGGCTCGAAGAATGCGCCAAGTCTTCTTGTGCTCAATGTCCCTTGAAGTTTGTCGCAGAAGGACCGCCAGTTCTGGCTCGCAAGGTTTTCGGCGTACTCCTGTGCCTGTCTAGTGAGTACGGCGATGTGGCGCTTCAGCTTGCGGTTGAGCTTTTGCCGTTGCCATCGTTTAATAAGCGATCTTCGAGCTTCCCATAGGTGAAGGAGATGATTATCGACTGCCGGATTGTCCTTGTTCAAGTGTATCGTTTTGGTATGTCCGTCAGCAACACTTACAATACTGTTTAACCAGGCTTCAATGTCTTCGATAGTCGAATCATCATCAAGCTAATTCCTGTAGGCGGTCCAGTCCGTGAGCCGAGCTTTTCCTGTCTTGAGCGAGCGGTGAGCCTGTTCGACCTCTATTTGAATTATGTGATGGCCACTCCCTAGAGTGTCTGGTAGCCTTGTTCACGTTGTGTTGTGCATGTCTCTAGTGAACGTGAGATCAGGATTAGTATCCCTCGAGACGCTGTTGCCAACTCGGGTTGGATGGAGCAAGTCATTCCACAGCGTCAGACCGTGTTGCTGCGCAGCGTCGTGAACACGCGCCCCCTTCTTGGTGGTGCTGTGATAGCCCCAGGCCGCGTGTGGAGCATTGAAGTCCCCAACCATGACGAGTCGGTTGCCGTTAACCATTTGACGGAGCTCGTGGACGAAGTCGTCGTATTGGTGTAACTGCTCCCGCGGAGGAGCAGTTACACCAATACGTTGGCCAGGTAATAAGCTTTGTTGAGTCTTCCGAGTCGGGATTATCTCCACGATGGTGTGTTCGATGCCAATGTCTTCAATTTCATGAGCCTGTGCAATTAGAGTCTTCTTGACTAGAATTGCGGTGCGGGGTGTGCATGTGAGAGTGCTGTAGCCAGGGAGCTTGATTTTTCTGTGTGGGTTTCCTGCAACGCGATCATATCTGGATTATTTGTTTTAACATATTCTTGCAAGTTTGCAGAACGAGGTCTGTAGTATCTGCAATTCCAGTGCCAAATTCGAAGAGTGGGGAGTGGCTCAGACTGTCTATGTGTGGGAGCTGCCATTCTGGCAGTTGATTTCCGCCTGGTGCCGGTCGTTTGGTGCTGTAGATCGAATTTCCGCTGCAGTTTCATCCCCTAAAATTTTTCGCTCTTTCCACTTGGTCCCTGATTGCTCTACCAGCTGCTCATGGGTAACGAAATTTTTGTATGCATATGTTATGAAGTTATGCTGTTGTGCCATGAAGCCATCAAGCTTGGCGTTGAGCGTGCTTACAGTACGGGTCAGTGGGTCTACTTTTTCCATAATTTTAGTAACCACTTTCTCTATGGTTGTGTCTATGGATGCGAGGAGTTTCGCAGTGAGGGCTTTCTCGAAAGCTTCAAGGCGTCGTTCGACGAGGTCGAGCATCTTCGCTTCATGTGCTTACAGCCTTTCTTCTACCCGCTTCATTATTCTGGCTTCCGTCTGTTTTAGTATGCTGTCGTCAAGTTCTAGTGTGCTACACTCGGCTGGTGGGCGTTGTTGTATCCTCCGTTGTAGATCTTGGACTTTATTTTCTAGAGCCCGGATGGTCGCTGTCTGAGCAGGCGAGATGGTCTAGGCACTTGTAGTATTTAGAGAACTGGGTCCGTCACTACCGGTCACCGCGGCAGCGTAACTGATTCCCCTAATGAAGCGAGACCGTGATGGTGTGCGGGATCCAGAGCGACCTTTTTTCTTAGAGCGAGAGCGACTTCGGTCAAATTTTGGGGGAAAAGAGGGGGCCCGTGAAGTTTCTGGTGTGATAACTGACCCGGGTAAATCATTGGTGCAAGCACTCCAGTGATTCTCACGGGCGCGGGCGTTATCGAGCTGGTGGCGTCTTACTTGATAAGGAGGGGGGTTGCTGCGGAGTTTCTTCTTGCATTCCTTTCCAGCAGTCTCATGGTCTTCTCCGCAGGTCTTGCACATCGGTTGGCAGTCATGTGGTTCTGTGTCCTTGTCGTGGCCGCATTTGTAGCAGAAGTTCGCTTTCGGCTGAGGGCAGATGTCTTGTCGGTGACCTAGGGCGCCGCAGGTTCGGCAATATTGGATGGACTTCCGGTATGGCTTGCATCGGTAGTCTCCACTGAGGTACGTCACGTAAAAAGGAACGTGCTGCCCGTCGAAAGTGTTAACTGCAGCTGTGGAAGATCCCAGCATGCGCGGGCCAAGGACGTGGTATCTTGGGTCTACGCGAAGTCCTGTAACAATCTCTGTGGGGCTTGTTCCTGGTTCGAGGCCGTAGATCACTCCGCGGTACCCATCATCGGGGTGTCGAATGTGCGGATTCACTTGATATATTACTCCACCGAGCTGTATAGCATTTATACTTTGCAGTTTGGAAGCTCGTTCAGTACTTGCTGTGCTTGCGATGATCACATTCTCTACTTTTTGCACCTGCACTCGCACATGGTCATAGAAGTCCTGCTGGGCCAAGCCACTGGATCTTCCGATGGCATGTGTAACCTCGATGAGTGTTCGTTTTGAAAGATCTAGTCCTGGTTGCGGGCGGAATACCATTTTGAAGTCATCAGTAGGGAATGGCCGCATCCTAGTGCTGCATTGACGTTGCGGTTGAGATTCGGCGTCTGGCTTCACAGGTTGCGTAGCTCGTTCTTCGGCCGACTTTTCTTCTTTGGCTGACCTGCCTTTACGGCCAGCTTGAAGCCACTCAATGTGGGCTTTGCCTGTCGTTTTGCCACTATTTTCATCAAACGTCCATTGTGATGCCGTTCTTGAGTTACCCTCTGTGTTGTCCACTTGCATCGTACTCGAGTTTTCTTGACGTGGGTTAGACGTCTGCGTTTCCATGAGAGCTCTTTACCTCAGACGCTGCGTCTCTGTGTTGCGCGAGCAGCGTGCTCGTGCACCTACGAGACGCTGGCGTCCAGCTCGTTTCGCAGGCCCGTCGCCACAGCGGCGTTCGCGTGCAGCGCGTCCTCTGAATTCCTTGGCGCGTCCCAGCGAGCAGGCACAATATGTTTACAGTTCAATATCTAGTAAAAAAGTACACTCACTGCGATGAGTCTGGTGTCAAACGATGCCTTGCAACGTGAGGAATCCCAGGTCACTAAACGCGAGCAGTGTCCAGGCAAGGTTGCACAGAAAATAGCAAAAAGAGCAGGAGCCCATGTGAGGTGCGACTACACACCTCAGCCCCCTGGCGGCCTCACATGAATTGAAATGCAAAAATTTAGGGCAAAGCCATGCATGTGCTTTTACTTCATTTCTATCGTTTTTAGTTTGTGTCATATTGGTGTCATTTCGACTTGTACACTTTACATCAGAGCCAACATTACCTTTGGCAGCCAGATTTGTAGCAACATGGCGTGGTTACCTGGAGATATTGTATATACCAGTAGTCTTAATGTTTTTTTTCAATTCGTGGGCACTATGCACTAGTGGAAAGGCCATACTTTCTGGAAGACTGACAATATGCGTAAAAAAAAAACAAGGTTTAATCATAACAAAAAAAAAGCCTCTCAGCTTTTTCAAATTACTCGGTTATATTATGCACAGTCAGCAAAAGAACTTTTTAGCAACATTCTTACGAGGCTTTCCTGTAGCTGAGCAAGTACACGCAGCTGGGCCACATCTGAGAGAATTTCATGTGGAGGGATGAGTGTGCCGCTTGCCAAGTTTCCAATGAGAATTTCAGACTCTTTCTTGTTGCGCAGCCGCACTTCTTCAGGTGACTCTTCGACATCCACAGCTGCTCTGTTCTCCTTCATCAGCTGCAAGTTGGCCCAGTTGGGAAGGGACCTGCTCAACATGTAGACAGCAGCACGTTAGGTCCAGGTTTGGAGGGCCGGTTTATTATGCATTAGGAAAAAAGCTAATATCTCTTGCTTTATTAGGCATTCAATAGTGTTTTAAAATACATTTAAAATCAAGAAAATTAATATTATGACTATGTTTGAAATTTCTTGCTCCCTAAATCAATCAACCTTTAAAGGGGCCCTGCAAAACTTTTTTAAGCAGCAATGGAATTCACTATTGCAAAAGCCTTTAGAATCCATTCAGTACTAGTGGAGTTACAAGCACGTGTGATCAAGTTGCAACCTACCGCAGTGGTTCCAGAGAAGACTAAGGACGCCATGCTCGAATAAGCCAGCAACTGACACAGTGGCTGTAATGAGTGATTTTTGAGCTTGTAGTGTCATTTATTGAGAGAAGAGTAAGCAATCTTTAGGTGACTTTGAGAATTTATTATAAATTGTAGGCCATGTGCTGCGCTATAATATTTGGTTTGAGAGTTCTCGGGAGCTTTGACTACCGATCAACAGCACTTTCTGACCATGCTCAAAAAGTGCTGCATAGCCCCTTTAAAAGGAGTTGCGATTCTGAAAAAAAAAAAATGTTTCAATAATCTGTAGCCTAGGAGAATGAAATATATATATATATATATTATATATATATATATATATATATATATATATATATATATATGCTTATATCATTTTAAATATGCAATTAGTTTTATAGTAAGTTACACAGTTTTGGTTTTGTGCCATGAGAATTATGTATAAAGTTTGTATTGGACAAACTTTTTATGTTTTTATGCCTCTTAACTTTTATAGTTCTGAGTCGGTAAAAGCTCATATTGCTCCACATTTACTTTAGAAAGCAAATAACTATCAAGAAAGTGCTTATAAGGCATTTTAATGGACTAGAAAAATTGTAATGAGAGAATTTTTAGAATCCTCAGCCCATGTTAATTGCTTACTTTAGGTTTGTAATAATTATATACATGTGACAAAATTAAAAAAAAACTACATACTTGCACCTTTCACTTGTTTAGGAATATGTGGGTAAAATTTCATCCCAATCGGGCTATCAGAATTGCCATAAACATGATAAACAAACTCCAGAACTTGCCCAAAAATGAATATTAAAAAAAAAAGCATTTCAAATGTATAAGTGAAAGCTCATCTATGCAAGATTAACCCTTTGCGGTCCCAAACTTTTACCCACTTTCCGGCCGTTCCGGTCCGAAACTATTTCACTAGTTTGAGGCACCACGAAAGAAAACGACAACTGTGGGAAATTAACTTGCCGGTTGTTTATTTCGTCAGTTCCTCTTTGTCCCCAAGTTATTTAGCAATACTTGGGCAGTGTGTGGAAGCGTTCAAAGCACTCTCCTGGGTTCAGTCCGGGATTATTTCTCCAGGTTTTGCAGAAGAACACTGTTTCCCTCCTGCCCCCTTTTGTTTTCCGGTCACTGCAAACAGCGCAGTCCTTGCTGCTTCGGCCAGGGAGCTTGTAGATGAAATGGGGCTTTACATCCAGCCTTTGTTCGCAATCCAATCTTGCAGATGGGCCCCGCTTCCCAGCGCGGGTCCTTGCGTCACCAACCAGCTGCTCTATCAGGTTCCTTGGGTACTGGAGGTGTCGCTGCTGTTTCTCTCCCTGCTTCAGGAGCTGCAGTCTCATCAAAATGAAGCTGTTCACTATCGAAACTTCCAGAAGCTAAAAAAAAAGCTTCTTCCTCCATTTCATTGACATCCGGGAAAATGCATAACTTGCACAGTAATGATCGGCCCTGTCCACTGCACCCATGTTTTCAGTGTAGTCGCATATCACCACAGGCTTTTTCAGTGTCAGTGTTTTTCCTCCAGCTATCTTCCTTGGCACTTCTTTCGTAGACGCATTGTGGGCTGAGCTTAGCATTGTCACTTGACGCTTATCCCGCCAGGCAAGTGCCATGTACGAGTTTCCCCTGCGATAAGCCGTCACTTCACCTTTTTTTTTGAGCTGCTGCGGCATTTGTTTTCGATTTGTCATCACAGTCCCAGTTAGCAAAATACTGTGCGAAAGTAACTCTTCCGCAAGCATTGGGGACGTATAAAATCTGTCCATATACAGATGATAGCCACTGCCCGGTGTAGCTTGCTCCACTTTCTCCAGCAGGTGGAGCACAATCCTGCATGTGAAGGGAAGCTCGGGACGGCAGAGGCTATCAGTTGTTGTGCTGCCGTAGTATGGTTCAAAGGCCGAAATGTAGCCTGTTTGGCAGTCAGCCAGCGCATAAACGCGCATGCCCCATTTTGTTGGCTTCTGGGGATTGTAGCACTTGAATGAGACTCGGCCTTTGAAGCCGACAGTACTTTCATCTACGCAAATTTTGGGGCCGGCGTTGAAATGCTCTCTGCATTTAGCATCTATGTAGGTCACAACATCCCTGATCTTGCTTTCACGAGTTGGTGGACCTGAAGAGGTATGTGGGCTTGGTGCAACGTGCAGCATCCAAAATATTTGAAGAAACCTTTTTCATTTGAAAACGTGTGGGAAAAAAGGCATCTTCTTGAGGAGGTCGTTGCTAAAGTATTCCTTCAGCTCCGGTTTGGGGTTCAAGGCCATGTTCACTATAACCCCTAGGAAGGCTTTGAATTCTTCCACGCGCACATCTTCCCAGTCATTCCAAATCGAGTACTGCTGAAGAACACCGGCACTCGAGATTTTATCACGGGCGTAGCGGTTTGTTTCGCGCACTATTTGCTCAATCAGCTGGTCAATGAAGAACAACTGAAAGTAGTCTAACTCGCACTTTACATTGGAAGAGCTTACTTGAGATCCCGGGTTTGGGACAGTAAAGGGAAGAGGGTCAAAATCTGGTAAATTATCCAAGTAGGCTGTCCAGTTGGTTCCACGTGGTCCTGTGTTGTTCTGGTTGTTTCCACCGTCTCTACCGTCCTCGTTTTCTTCCTCGCTGGCTTCTGTAGAATCACTTTCTTCGGTATCCAATGGAGCCACATAGTTGTCTTCATCACTAAAATCGTCTTCGCTTTCGCTAAAAGCTTCAGAATTACCGCCGTAGAAGGCACTCGGTGAAAAGGCGGCCATTTCGCTGCAAGCGGCGCCGAATCTGAGCTGCGTGTCACTCGAACTATCGAAGAGTTCAACCGCGTAAACTGCACCATCTGGTGAAAAAAACAAAGCTGAAATCAAGGCAGTTCTTGCCTTCTATAATAGGTGGCGCAACATGCACAGTAAAAAAAAATGCGGGCGCAATTCAATCAGGAGAAAGCGTGTCGGGCAGTGCCCGACAGCGGACCGCTGCGGCCGTGTTGTGTTGTCGGGCGGGGCCCGACAATGGACCGCAAAGGGTTAAGATGATTTTTTCCATCATGAAAGCTTGGCTCATGGTTATTTTAAGGATGTGGTTTTAGTGAACTCGTCATGGGAAATGCAATGGCAAGCAGCCAGGTGATGATTTCCAGGTTACATTAGACAATGAGCTCTTTTTTTGTTTTTAGTAGCCACCTTGTTCTCTCTAAAAGCGATATTACCCTCTAAGTTTAATTAATTTCTTTAGCTTATTTTTGTCATTAGAGTGGAGAAACTAAAATTGTGGCAAACAAAAACAAAGAATAGGCAATTTCTCAAAAAACGCGCGTTCGACTCCCATCTCCCCATTAACAAGACACAGCCACAAATGCATAGTAGCACAGGCCCAAAGTGGCTCCGTTAGCATGCACCGCCTCAGAATATCGCACAGTCAACACTGCAAGAAAACACTTTAATTCATCAAATGAAAGCTAGAGATTTCTTCATGGGCATTTCAGTCCAGTTGCAAGTGAAAATGCATAGCCAAGCACAATTAAAATGCCCATATTCATTTGCTTTCATCTTTATTTCCTCCACCATTCTTATTGCAACATCAATTACACTGCAATGAGTGCTTCTTTTGCTATTTTTAAGTAACTAGTCCTAATTATTGCGACAGCAATTATATGAACACTCTCGATGGGTTTTTACCATCGCCATCATGTCCCATATAATGTATAGGTTTACCCCTATGCATAAGATATTTTCTTGAGGCAGGTACATTACAATTAGTTGCTATCACATTCATCCCTTTGCCTTTACAGTAAAACTGACTTTTTTAGCACACTGCAACTGCCAATTTTTTTTTAACCTGTACATGCAAGCGTCAATCGTCGAGCCTAAAAGCGCCGTACAATGGAGCACAGCGGGGGAATGAATGTGCTTGATGAGCCGCCCTGTGCACTCGTCTTTAATAGGCTGTTCCGGTAACAGGACACCACCCCCGCTTCTTTCGAACATTGTTACCATCATCTTTCTTTTTCTTTTGCTGTCATCAAGTTAAAAAAAATTAGTTTCACTGTAAGCGTGAAGAAATAAATGCGATAGCAACAAATTGTAATGTTATACAAAGTAAAGCAGGCTGGCAGCTACCTCTTTTAGATACGATATTGCTTAACTCTGCAAAATGTTGGTGTAAAAGTGTATGGCCGAGCTAGAAAGAGATGCTCGCTTTGCAGACTCCCTTCATGTTGAGAGCGCAGCACATAGAAGGGTTTATGAGCCATTCGCGCTGATGCCTGCCATGATAGCACGTGTGCCAGTGATTGCGACCCTGCTGCTGCTCGAGAGATCACAGCTTAGATAAAACTGAAACTATAACCATTTAGATGAAACCAAAAACACAATGTTTCAGCCACATTTTTGGGAATGGGGCTTGACGACTGCTTCACCTTACAACAAAATTCTGGTGCTGCAGCGCAGTATGGCGCTGATACACAAGTTGGGTGCAGCAGGGGTGGTTTGGGGCAGGATGGCACAGATGAACAAGTCAAGGGCCCAATGGCGCAGCTGTTCTACTCCTGTCCTGGGCACAAGTTGACTAATAAAGAGTTTCATCTTGAACATGCTAACTGCTCTATTCATCAATGTCACGAGCCTGTTCCAATAGGTATCCACACATAAAGCCATGGAAAAGGAAAGCTTCACAAATAAATGGCCATGGCAGTCCAAACATTCTTTATTTTCAGCATCCCGTGACTTCCTCTCTGCTTTCATGGCTAATGCCATTTGACTGTAGGCTAATAACCATAGCCATGCCCACTGCATGCCCCAATCTGTCTCAACACGACCAAGCACACCTTAGAGAGATCATCTACCACCAAAAATTTTTTTAGATTGTGGTGGAAATCGAAATGAGAAGCTTGTTCATCACATTAGCCACAACCAGCACACTTTCATTCCCCCCCCCAAAAAGGAATCACATATTTTATTTTGCTTTGAAGGTGGCAGCAAAATGAGCCCTCCTATCACCCAACAGTGATGTAAGTCAACCAATCTATACAGGAAAAAAGACCCACACAGGTAGACTTACTTTGCTCAAGAACATGACTGTATGACATCAAATTGTATTTCAAGCCCATCCAGTAGCTTTTTATTCCGTCAAAGTATAATTGTTGTTTTTGTTTTTTCCCACGTGTTGAAAAGTACCACTCGGTAGTGCCGCCTTTCAGTTGGTCTTCTTCAACTCACTAAGCCTCTTGCTTGTTATACCATGATAATGTCTTGTATATAGGCTGTTTCTGGCCCAAACAATTAAACATGCCTTACCTCAGTAAGGAAGCCTTCTTTGTGGTCAGGTTGCTTAACATCATTGCAAAAGCTTCCTTGCTGAGGGGTCCTCAACAAAGGCTTCCTTGATGCTTCGTCAAAATTACTTTGGCAAAGGTTTGATCAGCTACATTAACGTTTACGCTGCTCCTGACCTTGTACGAGCACTCCACCTCACTGCTGGCTTATGTGTTGTTCGCTTACACATGCACATTGTCGACTTATTCTAGTAAGATTTACACGCTGCTATGGTGTTCTTCACAGTTGATAAACAACACTTTGGTGACGTGAAGAATCAGCAATAACAATTTATGCACAATGTACACATGCACTGTCCTGAGTGAAATATTTGTACATAGATACAAATATTTATGTATATAAATATTATGTACAAATATTTATGTACATAAATACAAATACTGGTCAATAGGATACGAGTGGAAGAGCCTATCACAACCAGGCCATCAACAACAATCATACTGAAAATAGCAACTATTCTATTGAACCACATTGCTGCTAGAACCTTAAAGTGCTAGAAGGCTATTACACAAGGACAAAGGTGACTTATGTATCATAGAGTCCCCTCAATAACACTGCACAGAATAAAATACAACTTCTAAAGGAGTGCCGTTGATAGCCTCAGTCACTCACTAATTAGGTAATGCTTTTTTAAGCATGGTGCATTTTAATACACTCAAACCTCATTATAACACAGTTGCATCTTACAAGAAATAAGTATGTCATACCCAAAAACATTCAATTTAAATGCTTTTCCTTACACTGTATTATTTACAAAGCTGTTTTTAATTTACTTTGTCATAAATAATTAGTTATATTCATGTTTACTATATTGAGGTTTGAGTGTATTTTAAATGTATTTGTCTAGCTTGGCACGTCTTTTCCTGCCTTCATATTGTGATTGTTTTTGTTGAATAAATGGGAAATTTTCTGTCCTCCTCCTCTTTTATAGTTTAACCCTTGAACCCTAATAATAATTCTTGGGGTTTGACATACCAAAATATCGATATGATTATGAGAGATGCCCCAGTGGAGGGCTCCAGAAATTTCGATCACCTCCCTTACATTTTTAATACTGGAAACATGTTACTGAACCAGTCTACTGGCCCTGCTGAGCCAGTAGACTTGTTTATATTTTGAAGACCACTTCAAAAGATAAAAGAATAATAATAATTGTTGGGGTTTTTAAATCCTAAAACCACCATATGATTATGAGATGCCATAGTGGAGGGCTCTGGAAATTTAAACCACTTGAGGTTTAACCTCAAGTGGTTTAAACCACTTGAGAAATTTAAATCACTTGAGAAATTTAAACCACTTGAGGTACATGCACCTAAATCTAAAAACACAGGTCACCTCAAAAAAAAAAAAAAAAAGAATGGCAAATAAAGTTGCTTACATCAAAAAGCGACTGATGTCTTCATCCTTGGCCCATGTTGCACTGATGATACGCTTGTCTTCAGATTCTGGCTGAACAATGCCTGTAGTATGTGACACATTGATGGATTTAGAACTGGCACAGCACTCAGGCAGCACAGTAACAATTCCATATGCAGGGGTAGAACTGATAGTTTTTCAAGGGCCACTAATAGAAAAACCCAGCGCAATATTTTCTCCTGATATTTTTTGTTCTTCAAGCGTACTTCTGTAATGCAGACAAATAGTTCCCGTGACGTCTATAGCGTACATGCTCTCAATTGGTCTATATACGCGAAATATCACATTTGATTTGTCTCCAGCACTGCTTTGCTATGCAGCCACTTATTCGTTCTTCCTTGTCTTGCATAAATTTCGTGCACGATCTAATGGTCCCACTTCATTTTCTGTGTTTACAACTGCGCAAACGGCGATAACAGCGTGTAGCCGAGAAGCGGGAAATCCTGATAGGCTCTAGCGCTTAGTGCTGACATTGTTCACGTGCTTTTAGAACTAAGCTGCGAGGATGATATACATCGCGTGTGCGAAGGATAGGAGAAAACCAACCCCTAGACATTGAACATGGGGTGGTGAGTGGCCATTTAACAGCAGTCATAAAAGCAAGTAAAATGCAGCTTTCGAGCCAGCAAACCGCAGCCAAATTATCATTACAAAACATATAGATGGGGCATATAAGACTATTTTGCAATACAGAAGCATGCACTATATATTAAAACGACTATCCTGACACCAGCATTTCAAAAACACACTTGATGAACTTGGCGCATTTTACTGCATAAGGACAAGTGTGTGCACAGCTTATAGCATGCACAAATGTTATTGCGTATCACTTGACATATTGCTGCATTAAAAAATGATAAACGGATTTGTTCTAAAAGACAGGGAGAGCAAACACGGACGTAAGAAGGAAGTCGGGACATCACAAACGCCTAATAACTAGCAGGTGTTTGTGATGTCTTTCTGGTGTCCGTGCTTGCACATCCCATTTCTTTTAGAATGAATATGTACCAACTAGCACAGCCCTCTGTTATTCTAAAGGCAAATAAGGATTGCACTTCATTTCCCCAAACCACAAAGACTGACATATCACTTTACAAACATCACTTCATACTGCTCTTATAGTGCTGCAATGCCTGAATCAACCTTACAAGTGCATTGTCAATGTTCTCCAGTAGCGCACCAGAAAAAAGAGCAACATACACATGAATGCATTAAACAATGGAACAAGTTTATTCACAGTAGCCGCTGGACTGTCTGTTAATGCTAATTATGGTGATTATCAAGCCAGTCTTCTTTATGAACTTTGATGCCCAAACCCTGCTTACTTTGAAGTGCGCTACCGGCACTCCCACTTTTGTGGCAAAGAAATGGACCTCTTGTGTGACGGCGCACATCATTTGGAGAGACCAATCATTCAGTTTGGGGACTTTTTTTGCAAGCTACAGAAAGCGTGAACATTTCTGCCTGCAAATATCATAGTGCTTGGCATCATGAGCAGAAATCCTGTCAAACTGCAATTGTCCCTACGTTATCACCACTACAAAACCTGAAAGCTTGTATTTCGCCATCAACCTGTTACTCCTTTCAGTGTTTTGGAGCATGACGATAAATCACGATGATCAAGCATAAAATTGGCACGCCACGGTTGAAAAATATGAATTGAATAGACAAAGGAAGAATCTACTCCAGAATAATCACCTACCAGTACCTCCCAAACTAATTGCCGCTGTTCACTGTAAGCAACGCCAGCGCTGATTGGAGAAGTAGCTTTTCCACCAATGATGAACAGCGCATCTTATATCAATCAGCTCTATTGTGCGTGAAGTAATAATTATACAAAAGGTGTGTATAACTTATATAAATCAATCCGCTCTATTGTGCGTGAGGTAATAATTAAAGAAAAAAAAATGCTTTCAGATTAAGCATATGAAAAAACCATATGCTAAGGGAGCAAATAAGAAGTTGTAATCATGCAATAGTGTTCCTGATTGCTCATTTATTTTGCCATTACTGGTGCCACACATTTCAATTTTAATTGTAAGTCGGCCTTGAAAATTTAACTTTGAAATTCAAATCATCTAGATACTATGACCTTTGTAGCCTTTGTAGTTTATTTGTAGCTCTTCCATTTCATTTTCAAGTTTTTGCACTACAAATATGTTTAGCAGGCACCAACTGACCCAAGAAGACTTTATTTGTTATAAAAGTTATGCTTAACACTGAATGTAATGCAAGACAATTGTTTGTTTTATTCGTTTTAACGGATATTTCATTACATTCATTTGGCCATTGGGGCACTTTGGCCTAACTTGTTGCATATGCTGCACAACAGGGGAGAGTTTGTTTTGTTTCCCCCAAACTCAACACTGATCCACTGAAAACTAAGTGTCTCACATGTACTCCTCTCTTGAGACAAACTTTCACAGTGACCACCACTGTTAGCGATTCTGCATAGCAAATATGGCCATTTTGGCAGTGCATTCTTGTGACCAGAGGGAGAACAAAAAACTTGCGCGAGTGCTGGCACAAAAATGTGAAGCACTTTAAAGTCGGCTTGTTCTCTTCAGTGATCGTAAAGTCATTGGCCTGTTTAACAATGTAACCACACTGGCAACAAGTGGCAATCTTGCCGCACACTGCATGCACTGTGGTCTGCATGCACTGTGCTGCTGTTTACACACAAAGAGTGACAGCCAAAAATTCAAACCTGATAACTAGAGAAATTGTACAGCTGTTCAAAACAAACAGAACAAAAGTTGTCTGAGCTGTCCATCTGTTTCACTGCGTAAAAAAAAAAAGAGACACTACATATTGCTGTCACGGTAACAGGGGTGGATGATGCTGTTATGCAATAAGCAATGCGATAGCAATTTTGACACCCCCTTTCCTTCTTGTACAGGGATATTTATGCTGCATAATGTGCAAAAAAACTTTTCGTAGTTACGTGCCCTGTGTCCTCATATCCTCTTTTGTCCTCATACCTGTTTGACTAAACCTTAAGATATGCAGTACCAACAAGCATACCAACTGGTTTTGTTGAGCATATGTAATCCAACCATATGACCATTGGCTCTATCTTCCTTTGTGAAAGCCGTAAAAGTTTATTGTGTTGAAATCACTGACAAACATGCTTCTTAATATCTGGTGTTTTACATGCTACAACCTTGATATGATTATCAGGCATGGTGTAGTGGAGGGCTGCGAAATTTTTACAATCTAGAATACTTTCACATGCACATATATCACATTGAACGCAGGCCTCAAGAACTTTGCTTTCATCTAAACCCGTAACTTTTACATTAGCAGCCAATCAGCGGAACATTATAACCACGGTATTACCTAAACGGACTACAGTCACAAAGTTATAAAACCTTATTATAATGTGAATTTTATTATATTGAAGTATGTTATACTGAGGTCCAACAGCACTGAGTTCTACTAGTTGTAAAGCCACAACCAAAATTTTTCCATGAGCGTGCTCTATCAGACTCTTCTATGTGTAAGTCTGTGTTAACCACACTTACCATTTCATATTTTCTTAAGAAATGAGGGGACCATCAGTTAATAAAGTATGCTTCCACAGCTACAATCCACACTTACCATTTCATATTTGCTTAAGAAATGAGGGGACCATCAGTTAATAAAGTATGCTTCCACAGCTACAATCAAGTAATGTCTAACCCAAAATACACACAAGCTTTGTGACACATGCATCAACCATGAACACTTCACGATAAATGACTACAACACACCTCTGTAAGCCACCTGGCTAGTCTGCTTGTAGTTCTGTAGGATAGTACAGGCCAAGCTGAGAAAATGTTCGACATACATAGGCAATGCCTGCATCAACTCTTGCAAGCCTTGAAGACTTTGATCCACACACAATGTGCTCTGAGCAAAAGAGGAAGAAAACCAGGACACAGATCAAAGAACACTGTAAGGAGGTTATACACAACATAAACTTTTAATATACATCTTGTTAGCATACAGTTAACACTTGAAAGTTGCATTTTAGTCTAAAGAATATCTAAAAAATTATTGAATGGTGCTTTATTCACAAGATGCACACACGAAAATAATATATATATATATATATATATATATATATATATATATATATATATATATATATATATATATATATATGTGTGTGTGTGTGTGTGTGTGTGTGTGTGCAGAAAACTGGCTTTGCTGCACTGCGTCGCAAAAAGTGCCCTGGTCATTAGTGAAGGCTTATCCCCTTCAGGCGCAACGTCCACATTTGTGGACGCCAAGTTCACACCTAAGTGTTTCGAAAATAGGTCTTGAATATCGCGCGCAAACAAGGCTCCCGCAACCTCTGCATCTTGCTGCAAGGACTTGTTGCGCCATCTCTTGCACCTGGTTCAAAATAACATCGTAAACAGAAGCCAAATGGACGCCTCCACTTTCTATGGCTGGACGTGTAAGTGGCTCTGATGTTTTTATCGTTTACTTTGTACCATTTTAGCTGGCGGGAAATTTAGCATTTGTCAGTAATAACTAAGATACCCTGCATGCCTTTCAACAATATTTTGGCAATAGGAAATCATTTATAGTGACGGTAAAGTTCAGCTAAATTTTGCGTCCACGAGCATGGATACTGCGCCTTAGTGCCTCCTTTGTTGAAAGGCTGCTATTTCTCTGTGTTTCACTTCCGCCAGCATCAAATGATGTTTACGTGAATAATTTTTTTCTTTAGGAGTACAAGATCATGCATCGAGACGACAAAAAGTCGACGATGAAACAGCAGAAGACGTCCTTAATAAATAGCCAATGGAGATGTTTCCGATGTAGACTTTTGGATGACGAAAAGGAGGAAGAGAACGAAGTGAACATAGTAAGTTTGCATTACACTGCCAAACTGTCGTATTTCTTACACAAATATCTAAAGGTACATTGTTTCTATTTTTAACTGTTGGTTTCAGCCTGCCAATGGCCAGGTGAGCGCATCGATGTCCTCTGCACCGCAGCCTTCAACATCACAAACCCCACTCACAAATTTTAAAAAGCCTGCGGCCTCCAAGAAGTTTGAGATCAAGTGGACAAAGAAAAATTTTGCTCCAAGGGATGTTGAGTGCGACTACAATCTGGAAACAGCGTCAGCGCCTGAGCAGCCACTTGTGTATTTCAGCAAGTATTTCACCAAAGTCCTATTCAAGATTTTGCTGAATTCACAAACAGGTATGTCTTGCAGAGGGATGGCACCATGTTAGCCACAACAAAAAAGGAGATCAAAGTGTTTTTCGGGATTCTCATACTAATGGGTGTTCTGAAGTACACCCGCGTCAGAATGTACTGGCAAGCTGCTGCGAGAATTCCCGCAATAGCGGATGCGATGGGTGTGAAGAGGTTCTTCAAAATCAGAGGTGCCCTTCACATAACTGACGCTAATGCAGAACGAAACCCAAACAGCCTCGACAAGTTTAGGAAAGTTAGGCCCTTGTTAGAAGCTGTGAGAGGCCGATGCTTACAGCTTGTTTCCTTAAAAAAAATAGAATCGATGAACAGATGGTGCCATTTACGTATTGCTGCAAAGCAACTTGTAAAGGGAAAACAAAACCCTGAAGGGGTAAAAGTTTTCATGCGCTGCAGCTTTGATGGGCTAGCACATGACTTGGAGCTTTACCAAGGGAAGGGAACGGGGTGAGTAAAGAGCATTCTCACCTTGGACTTGGTGGTTCAGTCATAATGCGCCTTGTTGAACACCTTCCAAAGGCACAGAACATCAAGTGCTACATGAATAACTATTTCTCATCAGTGAAACGGCTTCTGGAGTTGAAAGAGATCGATATCTTGGCTAGTGGCACAATTAGAGGAAACCGCTTGGCAGGTTGGGTTCTGAAAACTGACAAAGAAATGAAGAAGGAAAAACACGGAAGCTACGATGAAAGGGTTTCCATGAACGCCGACGTTGCTCTTGTCCGTTGGCAAGACAATGGCGTGGTCAACATGGCCTCTACTCACCTAGGAGTCGAAAACGTTGGCGTGGTAAGAAGATGGAGCGAAGCTTCAAAGGCCTACGGCGACATCGAATGCCCTGAGGTAATTCTAGACTAGAACAAATACATGGGTGGAGTGGAAAAACTAGACCTCATGATGTCCCTCTACCCATTGAGGACACGAACCAGAAAGTGGCCTGTGAGAGTGATATCCCATTTTGCTTCTTTTGCCCTCTGTAACAGTTGGCTAGAGTACATCAGAGATGCCAATGCAGAAGGGTTGCTAAAAAAAGACACAATTAATATGATGGCAATTCAAAGAGGTGTCGCAAATTGCCTGCTGAGTGTCAACAAGCCCCAGAAAAAGCGTGGGCGACCAAGCAGTGAGAACCCCCAGGTGATGAAAAAAAAGGCACCCAATGCGTCACCCCTGCCAGTGAGCACTCTTTGCTACGATGGCATCTACCACTGGCCACAGCAAACGAACATACTCAACGCACAACGCTGCAGGAGGGAGGGATGCTCATCCAAGAGCCGCGTCCGCTGCAGGAAGTGTGACATTTTTCGTTGCCTGACATCGCAGAATGACTGCTTCTACCTCTTTCACACTAGATAGTCTTTTTCTGGTAACTTCTTCCAACATTACTTTGAAAGAAGTTAAAATACTTCTTTGGAAAGCGTGTTTTCTTCTTTGTCGCCTTTCACTGATATTACTGCTTTGAGGCTCAATGTCCACTAATGTGGACGCTGAGCAAAAATTTAACCAATAAACATATTTTGCATTTGTTTTGAGTTTCTTACTTTAAAAGGCTTAAATATTCAAATTATGAACAAAAAAATTTTCACGTTGCGAGATTTATTTCCCGCCTAAAGGGATATTCTCCACCAGTCTTTGGTGGAGATGATGTCTTTTTGAAATATTGATTGATTGATTTGTGGGGTTTAACGTCCCAAAACCAACATATGATTATGAGAGACGCCGTAGTGGAGGGCTCCGGAAATTTCGACCACCTGGGGTTCTTTAGCGTGCACCCAAATCTGAGCACACGGGCATACAACATTTCCGCCTCCATCGGAAATGCAGCCGCCGCAGCCGGGATTTGATACCGCGACCTGTGGGTCAGCAGCCGAGTACCTTAGCCACTAGACCACCACGGCGGGGCTCTTTTTTAAATATTTTGAAATATAAAAAAATAAAGAACTGGGAAGTGAGTACATGTAAACAAACCTAGGATGCACCTGGGGGTTTGCTTCCATCAAAGGATGTCCACTGCTGATATGTTGAGACACGGTTGTTATGCAAATCCGCCAATTTAGAAAAACTATAGAGCCATGTGTAGTTGCTGCCATACACACACACTTGCACCAGAACTTCAAATTATCTCCCCCCCCCCCCCCCCCCCAGCATACCTGTGCTGGCATGTGTGCACAGCTCCCACACAAAGGAAGAGGAAGGCACCATTTTCTGATTCTGTTTACATGAACTAAGTTTTTTTCTCGACCAAGATGCCAAATTTGAGCACATTAAAAAAATTTTTACAGGGCTATTTGTTAAAGCCAAAGAGAACTCAACAAGCTGAATCCAAGTAGCTTAATCACGACATCCTGAAATGCTTGTTTCATGATGGAGGAAGTCAGCTCATCCTCAGTAGAAGAGGTACAAACAGCATCGACGAGCTCAGCTAGTATTCAGTAGGGAAAGGGTTAATTACTAGTATTGTGGGAACATAAGCTATTAGAGGGCACGTAAGAAACACTACCACAAATATCTGAGTATAAAACCATTTTTTTTATTTTTAAGTGCCAAATTTCTGTCTAATAATGCATGTAGAAACGACCCAAAGTTTTCAACCCAAAAATTTGCAGTTCCAGTTTTGCAGTCGCTCAGTGCTATTATGAACACTTGTACTGGTTTTCAAGGATCACAACCAGCTGACTTTTCAGACTGCCGAGCTCACGGGACTCTGTCAAAATTGTACTAGTACACTGTCGGTGCTTCATAGTGATAAAGATGTTGATTTTTTAAAAAGATACTATCATCACGTGTGATCACTGAAAGCTATATTAGGCACCATTTTTCGTGGATAAAAAATTTTTGCAAGTTATAACTCTGTCTTGTCATCGTTTTTTCCCACTAATTTTTGCTAAATCTTATACCAATTAGGCCAAAGTGCCCCAATGTGAGAATCAAGCCACACAAATGTTAAATATAGATTAGAACTACATATTCCTTTACTTTACTAGTTACATAGTAAAAAAGATTCTTCACTTTCTAGAGCGCGAAAGATTTCACGGAGTTTTCCAGGCTTTCAAGGATGCGGACTCTCTGGGATGCAGCCAACATTTGCCATCCCTTGCAAAGTCCAGCAATACAAGTGCAACTTTAGATACTCAAGCAGACTGGCTTTGTCTAATTTTGGTAGCGGTACCCTATCACTAACGGCAAGATAGTTTTTTTTTTTTTTTTAACAGATAGTGGCAGTATCACTCACATGTGCTCATTAAACCTAACCTATACGAGCACAAGGAATGAAAGTGCTTTCCCACATCTGGAATATCAAGAAAATAAGCCCGTCATGGCAGGTACAGATACCCATTGTACACAAGATTTGACTTCAATTCATTTCTTAAAGGGGTACAGAACGTTAATAAAGAGTTATAGTTTACCGGGCTTAGCGGGATAACGGGCTTACCTGAATAGCGGGATCAAAGTGAGCATGCGCAGCAATACACGTGACCTGTACCGCTGCATGCTATTTTTGAGATTTAACGTTATGGTCTTAGCGTGGTCTACGTAGTGTACGTAAAACATGGCGGCATTTTTGGTATCCCGCTTTGAAGTGATTTTGGCGTAGGTGTTGAAAGATTCACTTCGTTCACAGCAAATGACTGTTCAAAATGGCTTTTCTTGCCTTCAGTTAGCTTCGATGACCAAGTATTATAGACAGGTTAGCATAATTTTTTTGGATGGCTTCCCATTTCGAACGTCTCTAGGCCTAAATAGAACACTGATGTAAACAAATCAGCTACATAAATGTTTTTGCATTTGGTGCATCGTTCATATTTATTTACTTTTATTATCACTAAAAAAAACAAGTAACATTGCTTCGCGCGGTGACGCAAGCAAACATCCTCATTTTCTTTTCGTTTGCACTGTTCTTTAACGTCTTCACTCTCCGATACACAGTGCCACCATCCCAGCTAGGCCACGTAAACCACATAAACACTATCCCACTAAACTATAAAGCGCTGTCCGCAACGAACGTGTGTGGCATGGTAACGCTATTCCCTCAACCCCTGCCATCACGCTAAGGGTAAAGTGCAACTGTCTAATTTTTCGGGCGGTGTTTTGCAGCAGGAAGAGAGTTTCACTGCAAACACAACAAACTCATGTGAAAAAAAAAATTTCTTTTTTCCCCTCCCAGTAATTTTCGGTTGTACCTAGAGACCTGCTTTAACACCCAACCCGCGGCCCAAGCCGTGGCATCTGCTAGGGCAGCGGCCGCCACTAGAAGCTGCAAAACAACTGTCATGACACCCCCATCGCACGTGGCCACAGCAACTTCGGGAGCTGCGGTGCTTGTTCATTGCTGTTGGCGCTACTTGCTTGGTATGTCTTAAACGTCGGAGAAACTTATCTCTTAGTATGACACATGCTGTTCAGTGGTCAGTCTTCAGTTTTGAAGTGTTCGTCATGGTGGAAGAAAATGCCTAGCTACTGGCGCACTGACACCTTTCGTAACAGGATCGTCGGTCTTGACACACCGTTGCCTATGTTTCCTAGAGATTGCAAGCAGCATAGACTTTGTATACATGCTGCTCAGCCATCACGTTGAACCTGGACACATTTAAAAATTTGTGCAATTTGCTATGACTTCACTTGGCTGCATCCGATTAAAAAAAAAAGAGAAGCAAAAGTATAGGACAGTGATGCCACCTAGCTGTAATATGGGCAAACAAGGCTTGTTTTAGAATATTCCATGCTTTCCATTTTGAAGAAGTCAACAAATTTCGATTGATTCAACCTGTAAGTGGCTGGTAGCATGAATCTGTGAGTAACTATCATATCCACAGGGCTATGACATGGTTGATAAATTTTACAGATGCACTGCCTCGTCGGGCAAAGAACGAACTGCGCAGCGGTTGAACACCGATAGCATAGGTACACACAAAATGACCAACTACGACGCCTCGATTCAGCCTGTAATAACAGGCTTTCTGTTTCAACAAAACTGATGAAACGACACAGTTTATATCCTTCACAAAATTTATTTACTGCTGTCGCTACTTTTTGAACCAAGTTCATGGCACAGACTGCCCTAAAGGCACGTCTATGGCCTCCTGCTTCCCTGTGTCTTTTGGCGCAGGGGGCTCGTAACCGCAATTTCTTGTCAAGTTGAATTGGTTTGCATCATCAAATGTGAATTTATCGCTAGGAAAGAGGAAAGGGACAAGGGCATGAATGTATACTGTGCAGCTGTGTGACTGTGCGCGGGTTTCGAAAAACTCTGGCCGGCCAGCTGTCGAATGAAGAAGTCATGACGTCAGAGCTACCAACTCGCGTGGGCCGAGTGGCTCGGCGCTTGCTCACAAAAATGTAGAAAATGAGAAACCTCTTTTTGGTGTAATCGTACGCTGAGAACCCATTTTCAGCATTGTTGCAAAATTTTCAGACTTTCGTTCAGTATCCCTTTGATGTCACTGCTGTAAAATCCAGCTCATTTTATGCATTTTCACAAAATTTTCTGATTTTTGTTCAGTATCACTATCTCGAAATTCCGCTGCTAAATCCGTCACTTTGTAAACCACAAAAAGCAGATGCTGTTGAGTCATCTATGAGTAGAAGAAAGAACCAAAATATGTGTGTTTGTCGCCACAACTCTGCTGCCAAAATAAAACCAGTCACCCGCTTTCTACTCGTCAGTCAAACACATGCGCCTGTCCTCGTCTGTTTCTTCCTGTGTGTTGTGTTTAGTTGCACCCTCACGACGGTTTCTATGTCGAACACATGTTCATGGTAAAAACAATTGTCTTAGCACAATGTGAACATTATTCAAGTGAGCCAATGTCACTTACACGTCATCCATATATCAGGATTCATGATGATTAGTGGGGTTTTCTGGCTCAAGGGCCATGAGTGGCTGAAGAGTGCCATGTCTTTTATATGGTGGTGTCTATGACCAATGTTTACGATGACAGGGTATGTTATGGCTGCATAGAGGCCTAAAATCATGCACTGTAAACGTGCGTAAAAACTGTGCATATATTACAAAAATTATGGAAGCAATACGTGATACGATCTATGGATAGGCAATGTATTTCCTGTGAGTGATATTAATAAGTGAAAGAGGTAAAAAAGCATGGATGCCTCCAAGGCCTCTGAGGCCAAAGGCCGGGAGGCAGGTGCTTTCTGTAAGTATTTACCGTAGCAACAACCTCTTTTAAGAGGTCGCGCCATGGATAGCCTGTGTTTATGACATGAAAACTATGAACTTCTTTTAAAACCGCAAACAATAACTGATAGTTAAAAAACGGTTCCCAGCCTATGAGCATCGATGGGTGACGCGGTATTTGTTGTTTTTTATAGATTATTGGGAAATGCTTTTTTCTTATAGCGTCCAATGTACTACACTGGATGAGAATGTGTAGAATTTAGAAGTAAACAAAAGTAAATTTGGAAGTAAACGGAAGTAAATTTGGAAGTAAACAGAAAAGAGAAGAAGGTGACAGGACAGATAAAAAGTGGGAGACAAAGATGTTTGGAGAGAGAGAAAGAAAAAGGAGACTGCAGATTTCCCCTGGGTGGGACAGCCCAGGGGTGCCGTCTGCGTGAGGCCGGGTCGAAAAGGGTGCGTCGCCTCTGCTAGGGGGCCTTGAAGGTCCAATTATGCGGAATCGGCTCAATCCCCCGAATCATTTTTTTCCCCGGGCATGACTCAGCCACACGCGGCAAGGCGTGGGAGGGTGTCAAAACCCCCTCGGCTCGGGTCCGTGGTGTCACCACACATTGAGCACCTACTTACGCAGACGCCCCAGAGGGGCATATATTAAGATTCATTTCACTGTATCTGCCCAAACAAAACTACCAGAAATCTTTCTGGTGACGATATCAGATAGTGAAAGTGTGCCAGCACATCGTAATGCATCACATTGATTGATTGATATATGGGGTTTAACGTCCCAAAACCCCCATATGATTATGAGAGACGCCGTAGTGGAGGGCTCCGGAAATTTCGACCACCTGGGGTTCTTTAACGTGCACCCAAATCTGAGCACACGGGCCAACAACATTTCCGCCTCCATCGGAAATGCAGCCGCCGCAGCCGGGATTTGAACCCGCGACCTGCGGGTCAGCAGCCGAGCACCTTAGCCGTAATGCATCACATTTCAAAATATACAGCAGAATAGAAAGCTAGAGAAAAGAACAAGTTCACTCATTATAGATGAGAAATTCTCTTTATAAAGGCTGCATGATACTATTGTTTACCTGCAATAATGGCCTCATAACCCCATGAGATTTTAAGACTTCTGCATCGGAGGTCACTTTCCAGGTCTCCAAGCCTGCACACAAAAGGAAGCAAAGGTAGCCTAAAAATGATAACGACAACATAAAGACCACTACTGCATCAAACACTGATGATGTCATTGTGGTATTATAAGGCATGCAATAACTCATAATTGAAACAAGAAGCACTTACTTTTTGTGGCATTATCAATAGTGTTGTCCAGATCATTGTTCACATGTCCTAAGAATATTTTCACACAGTCAACTAGGTATTCATATAAATGGCAGTGATTTCTGAAATTGAAAGATCATTTTCAAAAAACAAATAATGTGCAAGTAGCATGCTCGAAACCATAACAAGGTTCTTTTATTTTAAAATTCAATATCTGTTTTCAACATAGAAATCAAGGTTTCTGTTCCAGGGTTCGATAAGAAAACTTACCCATCCTCAAGTTTCAGTTCTGCTTCTATGTCCGTAATAAAGTTCATTAGCGGCTTGAAAATATCTGGAAGAAATTACAGACCAAATGTTGACAGCAGAAAACAACTTTGATAAAGCAAACAAATGCAATAAATGTCACGAGGATGACATTATATACAACCTACATGTGATGTTCTTGGAAGTAGGCACACAAACCAACTGCTGATGCGAGTCTGGCACTTCAATGTAATCACACTAAAGGGGGAAAAAAGTAACAAAGTTTTCAGAAAGGAATCTACTACGAAAAAAAAGATGAATGAAATTGAAAATGAAATTATAACTATGACAGCTAAATGCTTTGTTTCACCAGATAATTACTGAATAACATTTGTAAGACAAGCAAACTGCGAGAGACTAGGAAACAACGTTTACCAAAGATGAACAACAAAGTCCACACTATTACCAGTGCGTTTCTATTGGGATAACTAGCAGTTGCCACAGATGAGAAGAAATGATAAGGATAACTCAGGGGCAAGATTTTTTAAAAAACATGACATGCCAACAGTATTGAAACCAGTGTTGCGGAGTTCCACTCTAGAATTGAAACAGCTCTATGCCATTGGTATCCATCGCGCCAAATTATGGCAACAGCATACCCCCCTCCCCCCCCCCTTTTATGGCTTGTGATTTTTTTTTTTCCTCGACGGTACCCCAGCCACCTGCAGTCTCCCTACCCTTCACTTCTTTACTTTTGCTTCTGTCGTCGGTGACTCAAACGCATATTTGTAAAAGAGCTTTTTCAAGTTGTGATACGTAGTTGCGCTGGCGTGATGCTTGTGTTCACTACCAGTTTTCACTTCGCCTGAAACTTTCGTCATCAAAGTCTGTAGGTCAGCGCAGCACACAGTCATACATGATGAACTGTGTGCCCTCCCGCTTGGTACAGAGAGAGAGACTGAACTTTTGAAAGCATTGGTTTGGGAAGCCAACCAAAGCAGGAACGCCCTTTTGTAGCCATGGCCATGGCAACGCCTGTCGGAGTCCCAATGTGACAATTCGGGCTAAAGAAAACCCACATTCACTCTTTCCTAGGGTTGAGATAAGTCATCAAGCTACTATTTCTCCACCTTAGTAACAAGTTTTGCACACTTTTGCAGTTCTTAGTGAATCTGATGACACCAGCTTTATGGGTTGTTCATCTTGACTCTATGGAACTATCAAGATGCCTTTCTTAGGTTGAGGAATTACTACAGGAATGAAACTGAACTACCCGGCCATTCCCTGAGTGGGAATGGGCTAAGTTTCTTAGTTCATAGGAATTGAAAGGAATAAAATTGTGGCAAGCTCTAATTCCCCGAAATAGAATTGAAATGAAATGGAGGTGCCCATTCTGCAACATTGATTGAAACTAAGTATAGCAATGAAGCTAAGAAAAGGATAGAAAAATGTAACTGTGACCTTGACTAGCTACATAAATATTAGTAAACAGTGCAGTGAACAAGAAAAGACAATTTGACAATTCACAATTTCCATGTGGTGTGTGTGGCATTCTACCTATAGACCTTTTTCAAAATAGTAAAGCTAGCTTTCCTGCTATGCAGTAAGAACTAATCGTGGCCATACTCGGAGACAACTTATCTTAAAATTGAAGCCAAGGAGACGGAAGCAGGGCTCCCGTACATTTGTGCTACTCCGGAAGTAGTATGGCAGCCTGCAGCTGATTTCGGGTTTGCTCGCATGATCATTAACACATTTGAAATAGGAAATCTACGAGAATGTGAATATGAAAAATATTTGAATGGTACAGCGCACTTTTGGGATGTAAAAACAGCACAAGGAATAGAGACCAGGACTGAGGCAGAGACGACAAGACACTGCCCATGCAACTAAATTTTATGGAAGAAACACGCACATATATCAAGCTTACGACCTAGTCACGCGGCACAGCGGCACACCATGGCGTCTGCACAATAGAGCAAACAGGGTACAAAAAAGACCTAATCATGGTGAAAAGCGACGTGAGTAAACACCCGAGAAAAAATAAAAAAAGGACAAACCTTCTACTGGCAAGAACATGTGTAACAACCCATAAAAAAAATTAACAATTGCTTTAACATGGCAGTGCTGAACCTAGGTATCGAACCTCCTTTGCACTAAGGACCACAGAAGGTTTACTCACACACCCTTCCCCCTTCCTTTCAATGTAAAAAGCCACCTCGACCTCTAGTGCATTTGTTCCAGTGACCAAACAAGTATCAAACAACAAGTGGTTCCCTCTGCCATCTGCTGGCAGTCACACCCCCTACAATGAGCTGGCAATTTCAAACTGTCAGAAGTCATTAATGAGGATAAGTGTTCCCTTGTCATCTCTGCTTCAGTCCCTGTCTCTATTTTTCGCTATGTTTTTACATCCCAAGCATGAACCACCAACTAGACCAACTTTCACTTCTGGTACAGTGCACATTTAGGTGTCACATTACGAGTACATTTTTGTTGGTGAACTGAACAGTGTGTTTGCGGCGGCACACTGACTCACTACCTTTTTGTTTGTTTGTTTATTAATTTATTTACTGATACCATAATTTAAAGAGGGAATTTTAGAAAAGTTAAAATACATCATGATGGGGAAAAAAATTCAAGCAGCAAAACAAAATAAGGTAGCAAACATAGCTTCCAAAAATAAAATAGAAATATATCAGTTGAGAGAAAAAAAAATACACTCTTTGTGCTATTGCACATACAAATACAGAACTCATACCAAACATCAACTACATAAATAATGGCATAGACGCCATGTTTATTTTGGAAAGCGGGTGTGCTGGAAAGGTGCGGCTGCCTAAGAAATGGAAAGAAAAAGAAGGCATTCCTGCAAAGTGAACAATAACTATTTTATCAACGACTTCCCGCAACTGTCTCAGTTTCATAATAAGTAAAGCAGAATTTACTTTAGCAAAAAAAAATGATAAGTAAACTTAAGTACTAATTTTTGGCGCAGTAGCAGGCATACATTTCGGTTCTGCAGTTTCCACAGTGCTGCCAAGAAAAGTTGTTGCCAAGTCTAGTCACTTACTGCAGACAGCCTGTTCAAGTGTGAATTGCTTACGCTCTAACATGAAAAATGTGAAGTTGGCTGTCTTGATATTAACACGTATATTTGACAAGCCCCAGCGCATCCAACTATAACCACATCTCCGCTTGAGGCATGACAGGCACCGTTGTTACTTGGGCAAATATAGAGTGCACAAAAGTGCACTTGCGAATTGTGAAAAGGGTCCATTCATATTCAGTAAATGCTCTCCCATTTGAACACTCACTTAAGCATTTGAACTCTGTACTGGAAACCAAGCCCTTGACTGCCAGGCATCCCTAAGGGCTATGGCAATTAGACTAACGCTTAGGAATAGGCTCAGAATGCTACCAGGAACGCTTCAGGAAGTGGACAGAAGACAGTTCATGCTGAAGTTAAATTAGATAAGCATTACATGTCTCCCGTGAAAGTTGTAGGGCCGACTCTCATTAACAGCAATTTTTTTCCCTTTCATTTGTGCATGCCTTTAATTTCTACAGTACAATTCGAAACTTATAAACACTTTTAATATCCCATATGTTTCCCTCGACTTCACCGTCAGTTAGTGGTACAAGGTAATGCTGCCGACGCTTGAGATAGGCAATCCCAATAAATTCAAGGGCACCTAAACCACCATGGTGCAAAAAAAAAAATTGTTATACTGCAGCAACAGTTTACGAATCTACAACGAACATGTCACCACAAGAATTTCTCAAAATGATGCCATAATAGCAGAGCTACAAGTGTCTTCTGATCAACAATAGGTCCACCACTTCTTTTTCTTTTTGCTCTATGTCTCAAAACTTATTCTATCCTCCTCATCCTCTACACCTACAAACATATTATAGACACTATATCACTACCAGCGTCCTGGCACCCTTACCATGTGCTTCGAATATGTTGTGGCAACTCATCGACCTGTGAAGTAGCGAAAATTCTGCCAAAATGTTGCCCTTTCCTCCTCTCTCTATTTCCCACCGCAAATGCTGCCCAAACTGGTCCATTATTCCACCACTAGCTAAAAACCTTGGCATCTGCCAGTTGCTGACTGAATCTGCTTTAGAAAAGCTGTTTAATATTGAAATGCATGAATAATCTTTTAGTCCAGATCACTGCAATGAATTATTTACTTTGTGCACATTCTTCAATGTGTAAGTAGTCTGGCTACCAAACAAACTACAAGCTACTGAAAGTTCACATTTGTTGCACGTCCTTGATGATAAATGAGTGTATAGATAAAATAATGCGTTTTATAGTCAACTGCATTCAAGAACAAAATAATTTTTTAGATAATCACCTTAAACCAGGGCTTGATTAAAACATTATAATGACCACTGCCCTATTCTCTCAACACAAAGCTTTTTAATGATAATGCTAATACCTTGTCCTTCATTTCCTCCTTCTTCTCTTTCAAGTAGGTATTCATGCTAATTGCATGTGAAGAGCAGTCAAACCTAAAGAGTGCAAACTGAAAAATAGCAGAAATTAAAAATACCATTGTTAGATGCACTGAAACAAAATACATGAAACAAGATATATAGAAGTAAAACTTCATAAATGCATACTCACGTTAGACATAGTAATGGTTAAAAGGCAGTTACAACCAATCCCCGACAGTTTCATAGGGCCTAATGAACAGTATTTGCACATTGCCGGACTCTTTTGCTACCGCGCTTATATGGTTATTTTTAATATGTCTTGAGAAAATAGTTCTTGCCAGATTGAGAAGTACTCAAGTACGCATTGCTGCATAACAAATTTTGCACAATGAAATGCTCTTTTCAAAAAATACATGTTGTGGAGCAACAAAAATATTTTGGAATGAATAACAATGTAAGATGTGTATTTTTGGCTGCCAGCTGGTAAACAGTGCCATAAAAAACACTATATATATGCAAAATAATTCAGAACAAGAAAAATTCAGTATATACATTTTGAAAAAAAAAATTTCCCAGAAACAGTATGAAAAATAATAAATGTTGCACAAAATAAAAAAAAACTGGAACCGAGGTGCTGCTTCATTGCTCATGCCATGCGGTGAAGCATTGCTTGGTTTTTCAAGAGACACAAGTGAACTCTTACACTTTTTCAGTAAATTTTTATTTTTGTGCGATAAGAGCCTGCAGGTGTTCCAATATAGATGAATGCCCGTGATATGAATATTCCCTCTATAAATCAGATGTTCAATGAACTTCAATATTTTGTCTTTCCATGAGCCACCTCACTCCGCATAGGTTGGCTTTCCAATATAAGCATCAAAGCATAATTCTTTGAATTTTCACACATCGTGATGTGCAAAAACATCGTGACGTGCAAAAAAAGAACAATATCGTGCACAGTTCTAAAACGTTTCGCGCTGCTCGGTAGTCAGGGCAAAGAAATTCTCCGGTGGCCTTCTCGCCACGATGAGAAGCTCTGCAGCCAGCCCACCGCACCCCAGCGACATGTGGAGCTTGCATGTAACCAGAATAGCTATGAGATTGTGAAAAAAGGTCAGCAGCTGTGGTGGAAGAAACAACTTGAGGCCGTAAATGAGACAAACCCACGAAATGCTGTGGATGTCTCGGGCTGACACAAAACATCATCAACATAAAACTTGAAACTGAGGTACTGTCTTTCTCGGACTCTAAGCTATTCCTCACTCAATTCAGGTATGGTTGCAAGACAGTTTCAAATGCCATGTGTTTTTTTGCAGTGCAGGTGCACATCCATGCACATCTGACGATGCCATAGGAGCGACTAGCAACACTAGATGTGGCCCTGTATACAACATAACAATACAAGCGAAACAAAAGCTGCTGGAAACTGGCTGAGAAGACCACCTCCACACATTATACAAGCGGCAGACCTTCCGAAATATTTTTTTTTTGTTGCCTGAATTTTCCCTGACTCCTAGCAACAGCTCTCTATTGAATAGCTGGCATAAATTTCTTACAATTATTACTGCTCAACACTCAGATTGCGAAGCTGACACCTTAATTTGATATTTGACTTGCAAAGATTGTTTTCATTAGAGAACTTAGAAGTTAGCAGCATAACCACAAAGGGCACGCACAACTGTCAAGTTGGCCAGCCAAGTATCATTTCCCAACAACACCTGCACATTGGTTTGTGCAAAGGTGTTTTGAAAATCACCATGTTGCCAAAATGGGCAAATTCATATTGATTCTGAAAGTTGAGTGGCTGGACTAACTACTAGAAAGTGGTAGGTGCACGATAAACGAATTCAACATACCAAAATCGACAACCCAAAGCGTCGATCACAGGTGATCAATTTGAATAAGCGTGGTAACGAAAGAGTTGAGCTGCAGTGGCTTTTCCTATGCCTACCAGTTGGTGCATGCCATAGAGAAACGAATACTAAGGTGAGGCCATTAGGTCACATGTTGTCAGGCCAGAAGTTGGGGAGAGTAGAGGGCTCTTCCACGCAAGATTTTTCAAGCATGCAAAACTGGCATCAGCAAGAAAGAGGCGAGCCGATGTTGGACACACCGGGCAGCAGTGCCGCTGCCAGCTGATAGACAAGCTAGAAAAGTGAAACTTTTGTGCCGATTTATATGAACATGCCAAGGTTTACATTCAAATGCTCCAGTCACACCTCCAGCAAGTCAGCCTTCACTATAACGACACAACCAGTTATGACCACCAGATACATGACAACACATTCCACAAGACACTACTTCACTTTGTACATAACACTGACTTCATGATGCACATTTAATAATCACATTTGCACAAAATATCATGTCACAAGTCTATGTCGCAATCTAAAAAAAGAAAAGAGCAAACATGTAGCGCTACTCGAGTATAGATTGCCTGGGTGCCACTCGCAGTCATACATTGCCCACATTTCGCATCTACAATGAACTAGTAGCTTTGCACTTTGTGTTTAATCCGCTGAATGCAAGAGAGCACGGTGCGACTCTACTGGATAATCGCCACGAACTGGCAGTTTTTTTTTTTTTTTTTTGTGCAGATACAGTAAGTTCGGAATACAGAACATAATGCAACACTGAAATCTCATCTGGTCTTGCTATTTGGCAAGATGAAACGCCTCCGCATCAATTTTTCCCTGTGTGTGTCACGATACCTTCACACCAGAATTGTCCGCAGCAGTGCAGGTCGACCGACTGCGACCATATCAAAGAAAACAGCCACAAATAAGGTTATCGCACAAAACATAAACAGGATACGATTGACGAAAAGTTGGCTACAGATGAGGTTTCTGCATGCAAAACGTAAACTGGACGTGATAATTCAAGCAATAAATCATCTTACTGTGTCAAACACTATTGCAGTGATAGAAGTGAGATTTTGCTTTTTGAAGCAGACTCTGGGGCAAAAAAAAAATCGTGCTTAAGAGCAGCCTTAAGTGTCCTTGGAGTAAAAAAAAAATATACTAGTTTAGGATGGCTATTGGTGTTTTCGGAGCAGTTGCATGTTCCTCACGACTCCTGAAGCTTAAATCATCATTTAAGCATCTCACAAATATTTATATTTATTATAAAAGATGCTGTATGCTAGTATGCAGATAGTATACACGTGCCCTGTACAGTGACTGCTAGTGTCACCTAACAGCAGTGTTGCCAGATGCTACCCAGCAAACAAGCAAATTTTCACCACAAAAGAAGCTCAAAAGAAGTGGAAACATTATGAATTTCACCATTCCTGAGAACATTTTTAATTTTGGTTTAAAAATGTCATTCAACAATTGAAAAGGATTTTAAAAATTGCCCTAATTGTTTTGTATAGCAAAAATACGGGAAAATATGAATGGAAGCACATAGCTACTTTTAACATTGTCTCCAGTGTTCTCTCTCTATTCTATTGGTGGCACGTTTGCAATCCATGATTAACGTTAATTGCAATTTCCCTCAACATATACTTGACTGAACGTCCACTCTAATTTTCTTCGACATACGCTTGAACCAGAGGCGTGTGCTTGGGAGGCGGAAAAGGGGGGAACAAATCCCTCGTCACCTACAAGGTGAGGGGCACAAAAACTGCCCCATAAAATGATTTAGTAAGACTTGGGTGAGAGGGGGGGCGGCAACACTCTGATGAACCTTCACCCGCCTTGATGGGTGACTTTGCACAAGCCTATGCATTCAATTACTCGGTCACCAACAAACACGCTATTAGTGAAAGACAAACGTGCATTGACGAATGTGCGATTTCGAAGTTGACTAAACAAATTTGAAAAGACTTTAGTTATAACACTTTACTTGACAATTTACTATATGTCGGGCTCAACATCCTAAAGCCACCATATAATTATGAGAGACACCATAGTAAAGAGCTCCGGAAATTTCGACCACCTTGGGTTCTTTAACCTGCACCCAAATCTGAATACACGGGCCTACAGCATTTTCACCTCCACCGAAAATGCAGCCCCCGCAGCCGGGATTTTTATTTGACAATTTGTGAGCTCTACGCGAACATTACAATAATTGTGTTATTTTAAAAAAACCTAATGAAACCAGCAGAAACTGCACGTGATTACAGATCCTGATTATTGCTGGCACAACAGTTGTTACTGTGTGCAGTAACTGATGTTGAAGGCATCCCTACACCAACTGACAATGACAAAATTTTGACTGAAAAATTCTATTTCAATATTTTTTTACTCGCTTTTCAGAGAAACGGCAGCACGATTGCACACTTCAGACGATATGCTTTCCATTGCGATGCAAAACTAAAAAGGCAATAAAGGTCACTAGACAGCCTCAGTAAACCTGCGACAACTTTGCATAGGTGTAACGGCATTGCAGATTCTATGTGATTTCTGAAAAATACTACAGTATGTGAGAACCAACTTAGGCCGCTACATTAAACCAATTAAAGCAAGAAAAGGGCATTCAACAGCTATCACTATAAAAAGATGGGTACTGTTTGTGAGAACACGGGAGTACAATGCCACTGAAGGGAAAAGGAGTAGGCAGTTTGTGGACCAGAAAGGTGCGCAGGAAAACTATGATAAAATGCAAAGTTCTAGCCTTATGTATGCCAGTGAATGTTTGCTTTTACGTGCAAGCACCTTTAGCAGGCCTGGGTATAGCAACACCTACTTTGCCATCAGTGGCATCAATAGAACACATAGAAAGACCTAGCAGTGAATTCAGTTTTATTTAGAATGCATTTCCAAGTCTACATCATCCTTTCAGTTCAATTTTGAATATTAAGTTCTGGTGCTTTATGGCAAGGAAAAAAAACAAAAACATGCAGCATAAATGAAGTCTGGTAATGCTGTGCAATTGCGTTTATTTCCTACTGATAATGGGGAAGAGGTTGAGAGGGGAGGGGGGGGGGGGGTCATTAGTGCTATGGCTGATAAAATTTAGGGGTGCAAAGAAAGTTTAAAATGAGGGTCAAAAGTGGTGACAGTGTAGAATCATAGCATTGAAAAGGTCAGTCTTGTTTCCCTATGCACGGGGAAGGTGACAGTTGAAAGGTGAGCCAATGTGAAGG